ATGTTATTTTGTATATTATTATTTTTATATTTTTCCTCTTGTGTTTTCATATATTTATCTGAATCAGCCAATTCTTGTAAAATCTTCTACTGTTTTATCCATAGGTTTATACTTTTTAACACCATCTTGGCCACTATTAATTGCATATCGGATAAACGTATGCTGGTCTTGTTATTCATTTCCATACTCATTTTTATATAAGTCCTCGTATATATCCATATTTTCATAATACATGAACTTATCTTCATAATCCTTTACCTTCATTGTGTATGGATTCTATATTATATGACCTTTACGGTTCTTATCAACATAGATAATATATAAACGATTGAGCGTTGGCTCTAACTCATATACTGATTTGTTTTTGTATAACATGTGCGGCATATAGTTACTATTCAGTATTATTGGTATATTTTTCTTTTTAGTTATTGACTTTGTGAATTTGCCATTAAGTTTTAACCGTGTTCCTTCTAACTTTTGGTTTAAAAATGTTAATTTGAAATCAGAACCTGTTTCTTCATTATACATAAAATGATAATCATCATCCTTATAATCTGACCAATCATTTTCTTTATTCATTAGATATGCTCGATGACCACCTTGTTCTAATACATCAATGTTATATGTCTTACCTACATTTGATGGACCTACAATCCAGTATTGTGGTATCTTATTTTTACCACCAAACATTGTTTTAATACCAAACATAGACCACATATGTAATTTATTTCCAGGGTTATTTTCCATATCTGTATCATGAAAGTAAGAATTCAAATTTGATTTTACAGTATCATATTTCCATAGTAATTCTGGATATATTTCAGTAGCCTTCTGCATATTAAGCTGCTTAGTAATTAATTCATATCCAAGTAACTGTTGGTGCATTTTTCTGGTTTTAATTTCTTAAATTAGATCCATATTATAACAAATATAATCTTTTCCTTTCATACAATAGCTAATAGACTTTTGTGGATAACCACCTGGTTTAATATTTGGAGTAACACCATCAATAGTAAAGAATTTACATGCTGTTTTTGTGTCGAACCGCTCATCCATTTGTATCTATATGTGTACATGTTTCTCATTGGTTTCTGGTGCAATTTCATCACATGCAATTGCCTTTTCAATTCGATAACCAATACGTTCATGTTTTATAAACCATTCCATGATTTGCTCTTTTGTTAAATGGAAGTCCTTACAAATATATGTGAACAGCCATTTAGTGTTTTGGAATCGGAATTCTTTGCCGCCCTGCGAGGAATCTGCACCAGAGGTGTTAACCTCTAACATTGCATCGGAAAATTGAGGATTTGAGGATTTGAGGAATCTCACATATTCTCGAATTCATCCAGTTATTTTATTGCGTGCATTATCTTTAGTTTTTTTATCTACTTTAGCCTGTGTAAGGTCTTTTTCGAGTTCTGACCTCAGTTGTGTGACAAGAGGTTCATACTCAATATGCTGATGGTTTCCAGTAAGGTGTTTTGCTCTTTCAATTAAGAGCGTCAATGTAACTCCTAAAATAGGAACAAATTCAGCCATAATGGCTAAGAATGCGAGAAGGTTGAGTTGGTTCATGTCGATTGTTGAAGTAATAAAAATAAAAAATATAACAAATATATTTTGCTTTATATTGTCTGGTGTTATTTTTATATTAGAAAAAAATTCAATTTTTATTTTTTTCAAAAATTTAAATGTATGCATGCCAAGACATTCGTGCATGAATTATTTCAATAAAAATTAATTTGGCTATCCTGATATATCTTAGCTAATAAGTCATCTAGGGTTACTAGATCGCATTAAAATCATCATAACCATGGCCGGTCCCCATAAATGTTTTGATGATATTGGCGTTGTAGGACGGTGAGGTTTTCTTTCATCTTGCAAAGTAAATTACTTATTATTATTACTGTTTCTAAATTTTTGTGTGGTAACCTATAGGGATCGAACATCCAAGGCAACATTAGGGATCGGCATCGAATCCGGATTCGTCGATCCGTTTCGTTTCGAATGAGAAGAAATTGGATTCGAGCGAGGGCTTTGACGGATCGGAACGGATTCAGATTGAGCTTGAGCGATCCGGATTTAAAACGGATTGGAAGGTGCCATTCCGGATTGATCCGTTTGATTCGTTTTATTTCCATTGCAATTCTCATGGTTAGCTTTGTAATTGGTAGATTGTTAAGGAATGCGAAAGAAAGTGCGAAACTGAAGGGAAGAATAGGGGGAACAGAATTTAAGCATTTTTATATACTACATATAATAAAAGGTTTAAAGGTAGTCGTTTATAATCAAAAGTCTTGGTTTATTATAAAGTCGTTGTAGCTAATGCCTAAAGGAATGCAATATATGGCAATTGTAGAGGGATTCATAAACTCGACGTGCCTATTGTTGAGGGATAGGTGAAAAAAAGGAAGCAGCCGCTTGTAACTGCCTCGTTTCAAATACACCGCACACTACTAGCCAAACTGAAGGCAATACTATACACACAAAGACACATACAAACACATACATATATTATACAGTATAAAATTGTGTGCATTCACTTACTCATAGGATAGACACTCAATACTTGCTGATAGTTGATAATCCTCTTTCCATTCCCTATGCTCTTCATATGAAGAAGTAAAACACGAATCGTCGTTGCCCTCATGCATTGGTCGTAGTAAATAGAGCGGCGCCGGCAGTGGCATTGTACTCCATAGGCATCCTTGAGATTTAAATCATACTATACTTTAAAGCAACATAGTAAACTGCTTGTTTTTACCTTTTCCTTTCGCTTTATTAATGCCGTCGCGTTTAACAAGTGCATCCTTCCACGTTCCCAACACTGTGTTCGTCAATGCTTTTGCGATCCCTGTGGAAACGACATAACACTTTTATCAGTTGTTCTGTATGCAAAAAGCCAACCGAGTAAAAGCCGCACTTTCCTCTATCTCTTCTGCTATACAGCTTATAAAGCTGCTTTATTTTATCTTATTCCGCTGCTGCTTGGAAAGGATCGTGTCAGCAAATTGTCCACTCTTTCAATCGCTTAGGTCGGAAATCGTTCAAGACATTATGGCGCACAGGCAATGGCAACTATATTGAAAGAAAAAAATAACTCTGAGCTTTCCCTTCACTTCCGCAATTTTCTGTCACTCATTCATTCGCTTTTAGTAAAATTATCCCTGCTTTTGATGCTGTACCTTTGATCGCGTACATTCCGTTCAACCTGATTTGTTAGAAATCGTTTTTTAAAAGTAGCAGTGTCAAATATCAAGAAGTGTGCACTTGCTTTTTCTCCCAGTAATTTTTCTTTTGTGCATTCTTCCTATAAATTGACCCCGCCGATGTCATCCACCCCTCATTAAGTGTGCATCTGAAGATATCAAACCAGTGACAGCATCTTTAGTAATGATATCAGGCTGGGTCGTCTTTTACTGTTTCTCCTATGCATAAGCGTTATCCGTAATGCCATTACATCCGTTCCTGTTAAGGCAGAAATACTCATAGCTTATCAAATGCTGATTATATGATAACTTCAAATATTGTTGATCTATTTCGCTCTGTATATCAGTGGTATAGTTGTATAAAAAAAATTATACCAATCAATCGAAGTCGTCTTTGGTGATGCGCATGTGATAGCATACATCCGGTTAGGGAGGATCCGTAAAAGCATTCATCTATGCTTTAGATCCAGAAGTAGCTCGTTCTTCCGTCAATTAGTGCTAAGCTCTGTCATGCTGAGCAGAGAAAGGACGAAAAGACCGCAACCCAGCAAGCACCGATAGCAGCGATCTGACGTTTTAGGAAACTGTCATATTAATTTTCATGATTGTCTTCATGGCGACATTTCCCGAAGGATGATATCTGCCTTTGCGAACTGGGTCATGATTGCCACCAAGATTTGAAATCACATGGATATCCGTGAACGATGTAGTTTTTAATAGAAGTAGAAAAAGAGCAAGACATTAAAGATATAAAAGGGGCGAAAAAAAAAGTTGTTTGAAGACATACGATTCTATTTATTATTGTTCCAGATAACGGTAGGCATTCCCAATATTCCTCCATATAGCTAGTTCTCTATTTCATACCGATAATCACATACCTGTTTATTCACTAATTACATACCTTGAATAGCTACTCTAACGTTCCACCATGAATCCGTCTTCTTTTTCCATCCCTGGTAAACGAAACTCCTCTGCTCTCGATAATGACTGGTCTGATGAAGTAAGTTGACCCTTTATTCTATAAGAATATCAGTATATCCTCACTTACCTGATCCAACACATTTATTTGACTTTAAATAGGATTCGTCAATGCCTGACCGTATGGGTAGCTCGCCTTCCACAGCCCGCCAGTTTTCTGCGATGTCCACCGACCATGACAATGAGGCGATTGACAACACCAGTGACGGCGAAACCGGTGTATTGACCTCCGTGCAACACCAGCCGAAAGGAAAAGGGGTTAAAGCACGCAAGAGCTGGCTGTACAAATGGTTCGAGGGCGTAAACGACGCCCAGAATATCACCTACTACTACTGCCGCTATCCCATGGGAGACAAGTTCTGCAATAAAAAGTACAAGGATCCACAAGGAACAACCACCGGCCTTATAAAACATTTGTTGAAGCACGGTATCACTAAGGACACGCCCGTCGATGCACCACCAAAAGATAATACACTCCACACTTACTTGGGAGGCAGCACCACGCCGCGTTTCCAACAGTTTGATCCAGAGGTCTTCCGCAGGGTGCTGTGTTTGTTCATTGTGTCTGCTGCATTGCCATTCATGATTGTCAAAAATCCCTACTTCCAGCGATTGTTGAACCTCGTGCAGTCAGCCCAAGTCTCACCCACGTCAAACTTCCAAGCGACAGTACTGCCTCCCGTGATTTGCTTACCATGTACCAGGTTCAGCGAAGCCGTATTGATGTCATCCTGCAAGCTCAGCCGTGCCTCTCATACACTGTCGATGCTTGGACAAGTGAATGGAAGGTTCCGTTTCTTGGTATCACTGCCCACTGGATCGATGACGACTGGAACCAACAATCCATTGCCTTAGGTCTCCAGCTTCTCTCCGGCCCTCACACTGGTGCCAACATGGCGGGGGCGTTCCTGAAAGTTTTGAACGATTGGAACCTCGTGTCCAAGCCGTTCATTCTGACTACCGACAATGCATCCAATATGACGACAATGGCCACAGAGATTGAACTTGCTGTTGGACGCGATGTCTTTGATGCCGAAGAGAATTGTATCCCCTGCATCACGCATATAATCAATTTGGCGGTGCAAGCGATCCTCCACAAAGGTTTAGAAGCGGAAGCGTACGACATTGCAGAGCAAGCCTTAGACAGTAACAACCAACAAATAACTACAACCATCAACGCAGGTAAATAAGCAAAAAAAAGCAATATCCACCCATCAACATGTGTATAGTAATTAAACTTAATTTACCTTAGGCAAAACGTTGCGTAAGCTTCGCAAAGGGATTGTTGCCATCAGAGCGTCTCCACAAAGACTGGATCATTATCATAGCTCGTTCAAGGTCGTTGCCCACCAACATCCAACTACCGACGATAACGACGAAGCCGTAGATCAGGACGAGATTGAAGATCGCCGTGAGCTGGTATTGGACGTTCGCACTCGTTGGAATTCCACATATGCCATGCTCCAAAGAGCTCTTACAGTCAAGCGTGCATACAATACGACGTGCCGGAATCTCGAGGCCCTTCAAGGATACTTCTTGACAGATGACGAATGGACATGTCTGGAGAAGGTGGCCGAGTTACTCCATGAGTTCGCCCGAATGACCCCATTGCTGTCTAGCGCCAGCTACGCAACTATGAACCTGGTCATTCGTGCTTACAACCGTTCGCTTGAAAAGCTCGAACTATACATGGATAAATGGGAGGATGTAGGCTATAACTCTATATATGCGTATTTCCATCGAACACTATTATCACATACGTGCACGCAACACAATGTGGTTGGGAAAAGCTCAAATGGTACTACTGCAAGGCTCAAGGCCACTCTTTTGCCGTTGCTACTGCCATTGACCCTCGATTAAAATATGAATGGTGGGAAGAGTATTGCGAGGAGACTCTTGAGATGGTGCAGAAGACGTGGCAAACATATAAGCCATCAAGAACGCAAGAACCTTCCCCATCAAACCCGGATGCGTTGATCAAGAAGAGGAGATCGAACACGGACCAGCTGGAAAGATATGTTTCCACGGATACAGTAATCGACGAGTCCGACGGTGAGCATACTTCGATCGTTTTGGAGTTCTGGCGGAGGGACGTGAACAGTGGCCAAGAGTTGAGGCAAATGGCACGCAGATACTTGGCGATTCCAGCCTCATCAACAGGATCTGAACGGCTTTTCTCCCGTGCCAAGCAATACATCCCAAGTGAACGGAATCGGCTTGGGTATAGCAAACTGGAAGCAAGTGTGCTGCTCGACTCGTGGTCCAAGTATTTTGGTGAAGATTAAGGAGTTGCTGTTCGCCGTTTCCACGTTGTGTTAGAGAAAACAAACAGCGGTTCTGCAATTCTTCGCACTCACCCTCCCTTTTTTACTTCCCTTTCCCTTGACCCACGGTCACCTACAAAAAAAAAATCCACTTCCCTTTCCCTCCCTTTTTTTCATTATTTCAAAGCCATTGCCTCATTGATCGTTCGACTTCTTTATTACTTTCTTCCAGTAGCCATGCCCTGGTTGCTTTTTCTTCTTCCCTATCCTCTTCTTATTTTTCTGAATGCCACCTTGTACCATCTAAAGCTTACTTTTCAGTAATTTGTATTCAAAACTTAACTCTATACTCGGATTTCGATTTGATCCGGATTTATACGAAACGGATTCGGATCCCATATTTACAATCCGGATCCTTTCCGGATTGCAAAAGAGCTGATCCGTTTATACGAAACGGATTCGGAATCGCTCGATCCGTCTCGAATCCGTTAATGACGACCCTAGGCAACATTTGTTCGTGTTAATGCTGATCGTGAAGTCAGCGGCTCAAAACCTATTGATGATCAGCATCGATCTGTTCGTCCTGATCTGCTGGTTATGAATGATGGTGTTGAAGTTGTTTGTGGTGAAGTTGGCAAGGAGGATTGTGGTGGCAAAAGTAAAAAAGAGCTAGTCGAACGCAATTTGCATACACCGAAAGTAATGAAGGACATGTTTTGTCAATCATTGACCAAAGGAAAGAATGCCGAATCACTTGCTCGAAAACTAAAAATAGCGGCTTTGAATGGAAAACAGTAAGTCATACATTATTTGATGCACTATATCCGTTTTTCGAATTTTCACATTGGCTGCTTATATACCTATAGGTAGAAGATTGAGGGTTTCCATTATGGACTCACCGGCTGGATATGTAACTCGCTTACTTCATATGAATGAATATGAAATACCAGTCAAAGCTGCCTCGATTGTTACAGATCTATTCAATATGATGAAAACTGTTTTAAAAGCAAAGGTCAGTTCTGTGTATAAAATAAAACCGTATGCTAATCGTAATTATTCTTACCCATTCATTTGTGACTAAATTTTTGGTATCATAGGCCATTGCTATTGAAAGCATAAAGCAAATCGAGAAGCATCAAGAGCCGCAAGAAAAGAGCAGTGAACCAGGCTACAGTTTTCAGCAAAGTTCATCAAAACAGTTGTACATATCCCCGTCGCTTTATTTTACCACCACCAACAAAAAACAGAAAAAAACATAAATCCACCTTGAATAAGTCTCTTTTGTACATATATTTTCATATTTTGTCTATAAAAAATAATCAGTACCACAGTGCAAATCACAAGGCTGCATCACTGCAGCGCTTGGAGCAAAAGAATGCGTTCAACATTTGATTGACACCCCCGCTTATTGTAACAACAACCACAACACCAGCATTCACGAGCAACAGCACGCCAGCTTATCATTACCACATACACGTATCGACGAGCCTTACATTCTTCTTTATTCGTAAAAAATTGCCTGTATCTTCCAAGTCTGGTTCTGACCAAGAACAAAGCACCGACGACGATCTCCGATACAACATTTTATGCCGCAATGCATTGTACACAGGACCGTGCGTTGACAATCTTTGAATCGCAGTTTGTTTCTTTTCGCGGTACCTTCTTTGACATGTATGCTGCCATGACATGAGTTTCGTGACCATGACGACAAATTCGAGCAGCAACATTCACTGTTGTTCAATCTCAAATTATTTGGGCCGTGCCTGAACTCGACGTAGTACTCAGTCAAGCGTTCAATACTATCACGTCTTTCGAAACTCAACCACTCATAGTGGAGCCAGAAGTTAAGCCGCCCTTTATATGTATCATTGCCATGTGTAATGTCCACTCCAATGAGATGCTTAGGAATCGACTTTTTGCCAAACGTTTTGGCAGGCAGCACCATCCTAATGTTACGTACGAAGAATACCATACAGAGAACATTCTTATTTTATAGTCCAAAAACATATTTTCCCCGTGATTGAAAAAAAGGGAGGGTTAACTTGTGCAGTAGCGGGAGACTAAAAAAAGATAACGAAACGCGCAAATGGAAAGAGCTGGTTCTTTTCTGAATTGTATCGCTGCCTTGACTATTTTGACTCTGTTCGCTGCACAATCCATCGACCCGGTGGACGCGCAAGCCTGATGCACCTACACAGCCTAGACCAATCAATAAAACCGATCGAGACATGTCTGAAGGCTTAAAACGAATGGCGGTAAGCTGATAGCTTCGCGTCATCTCTCCAACATCTTCTACAACAGCCCTAAAATATCAGCACAAAAAGCAGCTTACAATATAGCTTTTTTGAGATTCCCATTGTTTCGTCCCTTTGAAAGAACAATTTAAATACCAACTGATCTACACGAAGAACGACAGCATACGAAAATTCAAATGATAGATACCCACAACAAAGTGTTGAAAGACGTGTTATTTTGGCTGTTGTTGGCCAAGAAGGAAGGCCTTGTAAAAATAGTTTCTAGTGGGCATTACTGGCACAGCAAATAAGAACTTTGAGATTTCTGAGAAATTCTTTAATCTCACTAGTGGTTTTGCTACATCGAGTATATAAAAACGTTAGTTTTGAATGACAAGAGTGCAGTAATATACAATTAGTCTTGGGGTATCAAATTTTTATGTACTGTATGATCCGAGGGATATCGGATTCATATGGCCGAATATATTCAATCATCACAGTACTGCTGGGTAGAACAGTATTAGCTTTAATAACTTGGTAGTTTCGACCAACATCAACCACTTGTGGAGTAGTAGCAGATATCATAATTACAGAACCTCGCTTTCTTTCTTCTATCGCTATTTTTTACCTTTTTTACGTGCTTCTTTCACCCCACTTTTTCGTGCCGCTATCTTATCTGAATCAATGCACATATAGAATCTCCATGTCTAATGCTACTGTATTATTATTGAGGGGATTGGCTTTGACTTCTTGAACCGTATTATACAGTATTGTAATGACAATGGTACCTCCTTATGTTGGATGAACGGCTTCTGCATAGTTACTAGATGAATCGATTATTAAGTACTATTCTTGCAGAGTCGTTTTCTCGCGCTTACTGTAATCATGTTATGCGCGTTAGCATTTATTGGATTGTGCTGTAATTGGATGGCTGTATAGTTCTTCCTACCCGTGTATAATGTGGTCAAGTATGTGATTGCGTCCAATCCAAAAGTCGCTGCGTAGCCATCTTCATCTTCATCAGCAACAGTAGTATCATTGTCATCCACATCCACAACGTCGACTATATCTACAATGTCCCAACAAATCCAGGGTTGTACCCGTCCTTGTGCTACCTTATATACCGAGGTCTAAGTGAGTTTATTACGATGCAGTGGCACCTCGATGATTTTTCCACTACCAACCGTTGACGGCGGCAGTCCAGTGATGGCAGATCCAGGCATTTTGCGTCACGGTGATCTACTTGTCGGCATGAGCACTGGCTGTCCAACTTCAAGGATAGTACGCTCGGATACCATAAACAGGAAATTGTTTGGGCTGGGACTCAGAAACCGGTACTGGCAAGGATTAAGTTACTGATAATTAATTAGCTATTATTAAAAAAAGTGGGAAAGGCACATGTAAAATGACTAAACGATTGGTGTGTTATATATAGGAACATTCCGCCTGTCCGAGTCAAGTTGTGAATTAGTCAATTAGAATATCTGGTTCCGCTATTTCCGCGCGACACGACCGGTGCGTTGTATATCGTGTCATGCGACATTGCTCACCTGATTGACGAAAGATGCGCGTTGTATTCTGCATCAAGTTTTGTGTGTCATGTGCTCTCCTTGCCAAAGCAAGATCTAATTCATTGGGAGGACTGACGATCCTGTGAAGAGCTCCATCGCGCTTCTCAATATGGGTAAAGTGACTCTTTTGGAGTAAAAAGACAAGACATGCTAGATAGCTGCTGTTTATACTATATGTATTTTGTATTGGCCCCGTTTTTTAAATGAAAATCAAGTACTAAAACTAAAGATACTTTGTGTTGTGAGCGTGTCTGAGTGGTAAGATGGATGTTTACGATCGTCGTGCAAAGTGATAGGGTTGAGTGATAAGTTTTGTGTGTGATCTGTGTACATAAGCAGTAAAAGAAGTATAGTAGAAAGAAGAAATAGTGTGTGTGTGTGTGTGTTTTATGGTGGCAATTACTTCTTGAGAGTACCAATGATGGCGTAGGGAGCATACTTTTCAACGACATCCTTCTTGTGCAGCATGTTGAATTCTTCCGTAGCATCCCGACCAGCGTAGATGAGAATGGCCTTCTTGCCACCAGGGTGCTCGGACAAAAAGTCCGTGACGTTCAACACCTGACCATTCACAATCACCCAGCAATCCTCAGGCTTGTTATGTTTTGCGACCTCCTCTACACTATATTCGCCCATCTTCTTGGGTTCATCCTCCTTCTTGGCCTCTTCCTTCGCGGGTGCAGGCGCAGCAGCACCTTCAGCAGCAGCGACAGCAGGAGCGCCAGCGCCGGGCCAGGCAATCTCGAGGTTGATGCGGTTGGGGTCGCTGGGGTTCATCGAAAGGCTGACACCGACGGTGCCCAAGTGGCTGGCAATGGCACCAAGACGTTGCTGGGCAACGTTGCCGGAACCGGTGTTGACGAGCTTGCCAAACAGGTAGCGCGTGGCGGTCTGGCCAGCGACACGGCCAAAAACGACACAGCCCAAGAGAGACGAACCACCAAGACGGTTGGCGCCGTGGACACCACCGCACATTTCACCAGCAGCGAAGAGGCCAGGAACAGTAGCGTCGCCACCCTTGATTTCTGCATCGGGAGTGATCTCAACACCACCCTATATTATTTGTGTGTTTGTGCCATTTATGATTAGCATAGCTACAATACCATCTAAAAAATAGCAGCAGGACGACACGTCTACTTACCATAGTGTAGTGGAGCACAGGCTGCATGTGAGCGACGTAAAAGTAGTCTTCCATCTTGATGGGAACGTTGTGGAAGAACCGCTTGCCCCAAGGATCCTTCTGCTTGCCGTCGGCAATAGCGTTGTAGGTCTCAAAGGTCTCCTTGAGCTTTTCGGGCGAGACGCCCATCTCCTTGGCAAGAGCAGCACCGCTGTCGAACTTCTTCATCAAACCACGACCGGCATAATGGCGGCAGTGCCATTCAATTTCCTTGGAGGCGGCCGTGTTGAGGACCAGGCGGATAGGGAACTTGTTCTTCCACATCATGCCAGTGACATAGTCACGATGGCCCAACTCGTCACAGAAACGGTTGCCCTCTGCATCCAACAGCAAACCACCGCAGCCACGCAAGGCTTCGGCAGCCAAAAACTTGACCTTGGCATCGGGCTCCTTGGGGTCGACCAAGCCGGTGGGATGGACCTGGACCTTTTCCAAATCGACCGTGTTGGCGCCAGCGATACTGGCCATCTTGATGCCGTCACCAGTGCAGTGGTCACCGTTGGTGGTCGACAAATCAAACAGTTCGGGACGATGCTGCTTCAAGAGCGAGTTGGGACCAAAGTCAGCAGCATAACCACCAGTGGCCAAGACGACGGGGCCATGTGCTTCATAGGTCTTGCCATCAGCGTCCTTGCCGACAAGGACGTATTTCACGCCAACGATCTCGTCGCCGTTCTTGATAAGCTCCTCGACGCGAGCGCGCTTGATGATCTTGACACGATCGGTCTGCTTTTCGGCGAGCTCTTCGAGACCTTCCATCAAGGCATAGGTGATGGTCATACCAGGGAACTGCTCCTTGCCACGGTGGGTACGAGGGAACGAGTGGCCGCCCAAGCGCGACACCAAGCTCAGGTCGAGCTCAAACTTGTCTTGAAGCCATTCGACGGCAGAGGCAGAGCGGCCGGTGAGGACCTTGATGAGCTCTGGACGGGCCAAATCGCGTGCGGACTTTAAGGTGTCCTGGTAGAACTGCTCAACAGAGTCCTGGATGTTCTTTGCGATCTGGGTGCGCGTCAAAGCGCCGTTGATACCGGATGTGGCCTTGGTAGAGTTGCCACTGTGATCATATAAAAGAGAGAAGATTACGCAGATGGCAGTAGGTTTAGAGGTTGGTGACACAAGCGAGGAGAGAAACTCGGATTAATTATCATTTTTCAAGCACAGTGGCATGATTTTTCCTACCCGAAGAATGGATTCTTGTCGAGCAGCAAGACGTTGCCGCCGTTCTCGTAGACGGTGTGTGCAGCAGCCAGGCCAGAGAGGCCGCCGCCGACAACAATGATTTGGTTCTTCAGAGACATTTCTGTTGTGTGTGTGTATACGTGGGCAGAGTGAGGGGGTGGGTGAAAGAGAAGTGTGCGATGGGAAAAATTAGCAAAAGAGAAAAAGAGAATGCAAGGGAAAAAAAATGGGCCAATTTTTATTGCCACAGAGCACTACAGCGAATACAACGGCCGACACGGGAGAGACACGGGAAACCAAGTAACCTTGATTTGGATTGCTGCTTCATGCCCTGTGTCTGCCTATGCGTGCTGCGTGTGTACTTGCGTGTGTGTGTGCGTGTGTGTGTGTGGAAGTGTACTACCCCTCCCCCCTCATTCTCTGGTCCTTGTGGTAATAATAGAATGACCCCCACACCCCCCACCCCCATTGTTGCCACGACTACGACTGTGATAAGCCAGTCCAGTATAGTCGAACCAACAGGACCAACCGAAGCGAACCAAGTAGCTCTCACACACTCATCACATCGTCGTCATCACGGACGAACTTTCTCCACACACGCCCCCGAATCCCCCGAAATAAACAAAAAACCACCTGACCTTTTCTTCCCACCAAGTAATATCATTCATAAAGAAACGCCAACAAAGCCATGTGCTGCTCCCACTCGCACTGGGCCGGTAGCATGTGAAAAAGCTGTCGGTTTTTTGTCATTACTGCTTATAAAACCATGCAAAAAGATGCACACCATCATCAATGTGGCATGTATCAAAAAATATATGGTGCCATGTCCTGGTATCATACCAGTATATTGGCGGTAAAAAGGGTGTTTAGCAGCCGGTGGTTTCAAAAACCTTACAAAACCTTACAAATACGAATTTCTCAGAGCTTAATCAGTAACCCCGGATTCACCAGGCATTTGTACGAGTGTCGTAACTACTGTAGTAGCAGTAGTGGTAGTAATAGTATAGTATATATATATATATACATATATAATAGTGTTAAAGCGTAGTACAACAATTTTTAGAACAACGATCTAAACGAGTTTTTAACAGAAAAAAAGGAGAGCATACATAAGAGAGAGAAAGAGAGCCTATTGTGTGTGTGTGTGTGTAATAGATGTGTGTAAGGTATTTACATATAATAAAAGAAACATGGTACAGTATAGAAAGGAAGAATAACAGCGTACGAAGAGAGTATCGAAAAGAAAAAAGGTGTACATACATAGTTAGAGAGAGAGAGCGCATGTAGGGTGTGTTCAAAAGCAAGTGTGCGTATCATAGGGATGATGATGATGATGATGATGAGGGATCGAGGGAGAGAGCAAGTAAAGATTGGCAATACGTTAGAATGGTATGATGATATGATATGTATAAGTTTAGCAGATGACGCTGGTATCGTTGGTGTTGCTCCTGAGCTTCTCTAGCGGAAACAGTTGGTCAATCTTGGTGATCCAGTCCGTCATTTCAGCCTTCGAGCTCGCTTGGAGCGTATATGCGTTGTTGTTCGTGTAGAGGGAGAAGACATGATTGCGCTATTATCACAATAAAACTTAATCTCTCTCTCTCTCTCTCTCTCCGCATAGACGGAATATATATAAACCGAGTCTCATTCTCTCTCTCTAAAACGCTTACATTGATCATCTTCTCCAGTTCCCGGTTGTAGTCTACTCGCACGGAGGATACATTGATCACTCCTTGTTCGTCGGTCTCTGACCGATTGGTATAAACGTAGATATAGGGTCTGTCACGAAGAGTAGCCGTTAATCCTTCCAATCATCTCACAGCCTGCCTCGATCCCTGTCACTACCCTACCGCCGCAAAAGGGCTTACCTTCGGATGACAAACCATCGCTTGACCCATTTGTTGTCGAGGGCGTTTTCTTGGTATGTGAGGTATCCCTTCTTGGATACATTGCCGCTGATAATGCAGAAAGAAATTAACATTTGGCATTCACCCTTTGATCTTATCCAACCCTCACAGTTGTTCCTGGATGTGTGTGAACTTACGTCTTGCTGACGAGCTTAACTTCAGCCAACAGTTTAGCATCTGAAGGCTGCTGCTGCTGCTGTTCCTGCTGTTCCTGCTGCGGTTGCAAAGGATTGTTCTGGTTCGGATCTTTGGCTGCTGGGGGATCTTGACTAATCGTCATCTAATGTGCGACGACAGAAAAGGGAAATGTTTAGATTCGACGAACAGAAACCTTAAATTCGTGACGTTACAAGGTTTGAAAGGAGGTGGGAGTTTGATGTTATAATAGTTTACCTCAGCTGCAACCGACTTCTTAGTCCATAGATCAATCACTTTACGCAACAGTTTTCCCGTATGCTCCGACGACGGCGTTGCTGCTGCTTCTTCCACAGCCATCGATGATCCGTTGCTTGTCTGTGACTGGGCCGCTTTGAGCGTCAATGCCTGAGCAGTGGAAGCGACCTGTTCTAGCCGTGCAATCTTGTTGCGATGGACCTCGTGGTAATCGTTAACCAAAGAAACCCCACGCGGACGCCAGTAATCCATCAGCAATTCCTCGCCACGGACATACTTGGAAGCGGTATTGAGACGCCACAGCTGGCTGACACGACGCGTCATCGGGGGGTTGAGCTGGACCAGAAAGATGGCATTAAAGTTTGAGAGCACCCGTTTGTTGGATTGACCCAAGAATTTACGCAGGGCTGACGACGTGCTGCTGCCCTTGTCCCGCCCGTGGATCTGCACTGCAATATCCGTGCTGAACTGCATCGGCTTTTCGCATTTTTCCGCCTCCACTTGCCATTTCAACTCGAGCAAGACACGGCACTGGGTCGTCGTGATGCAGTTCAAAAAGGGACACTCGTGTTGTGAGCTGTCCCATGCACCGTATGCTGCTAGCTCGCTCGTACCGTCGTTATTGTACACGACTGATTGATGGTGGCGCGTCATCTTGATGGGTACTTGGCCGCTGTCGTTGGGTGGGTCTAAAATCCGGCCTTTGCCATCCAAAAACCGGGGTCGTCCGATCGTTGCGTTGCAGATCGATGTCCATTCAAGCTGTCGCCCGGATGTGTGGTACAAGGTCACGTTGATGCGTCGCTGTAAGCCTTGACGAAGCGTAAACACACCACGGTCGAGCTCGTTTTGTGCTGATACTTGCACTGGCACGTACTTGCCGTTCGGCATAAGCTCGCATACCTGGATACGCGCAACAACGTCATGACGCTCCGCAGCTAATAGCTCTTCTTCGGGTCGTCGTTCCAATCCACCTTCGGCATCAAACATCAAGTGATCTGCGCATCGACCATAGGCTACGCCGTTGCTGCTATTGTTGTTGTTGGGTCGAACACCCACGGATCGACCGAGCTTGAGTCGTGGGTTCTCGCGTTGCTCATCCCATCGTTCAATCTGTTTTATTGCACGTGGCTGGAACTTGCCATAGACTTCGAATGATACCATGCCGTTCATGAGCACATCGAGCATCGTCTCCGTTACTGAAACCGAAAGTGTCTGGCTGTGATCCAGATCGATGGGCTTGTCACCAAACCCGCTGACTGGATCCGTGGCAAACGTTTTTTCGGCAGCTGAGTGTACTGGAATGCTGCCAAACGACGATAGACGAAACTGAACATGCACCTTTGTGAAGTCTTCTTCACTAATGCCGCTCAATTCCAGCAAGCGTACTTCAAACATGATCTGTTGGCCCGCAGCAAGGGCTGTGGACGGTGTTGGTGTTGTTGGGCTGCCGTTGTTGCCGGCGGCAACCATGCTGTTGCGGTTGTTCTGCGACGTTCGAGCAATAGGCGAGATCAGTACCCGTAATTTACCCCTCACCTGGCCAGTTGTGCGACAGATCACAGCAATGCAACTCTCGTACGCTTGCTGAGATATCAAGTTACGGGCACTTGTTGCTGCACTACCGATCAAGTTGTATTTGCGAGACGGGTTCTCAAAGAACGGGTCCTCATAGTTGAGATGTTTGCGATACATTGGCTTATCCATAAAATTGCTGAGGTCGCGCATCTTTTTCAGCCGGGCCTTGAGTTTATCAAGCGACCATACATGCATGGTGTTATTTTTGCGATCAATCACACGCACGCCGATGCAAGGCTTGTTACACTCCGTCAGAGCCGTATCGTCGTCTTCTTGGATATCATGCAACACACTCGGCGTCGTGCTTTCCCAATACGATGCTGGATTTGCAAATTGACCTTCCTCGACAATCGTAAATTGATACACAGCATCCTTACCAAACTGTCTGGCGATGATATTCGCTTCCTTGAGCACCACGGCTTGGGTCAAGATATCCTCTGCCATAGATACTCGACGCATCGATTTCCAGTTCTTGATCGCCTTTAGAGCATATGCCTTTTCTAGATCCGTAAATTCTGGCTGTGACTGTTGCTGAGGTGGGTGCAGAAGCTGCATCGACATGCGACTGATCCGCGTTTCGTAAAATTGCTTTTGTTCATCGAGGACCTTTTGCAACTTGTCCCGTTCGAGTTTCATGCGATCCTCCACCTCGTTATTACTGCTGTGCACAAACGTTGTATCCGTGCAGACGCTCTCCAGGTCGACGATCGTAGTCGTAGCCATAGAGTTCCGAATGGAATCTTTAGATGATCCGTCATCGTCGTCGCCTGCAATAGTAGCTCGGCTTACCGGCCTGGATCGTCGCGAATTACGAATTCGCGAGATATCGCCGTACAGCTTGTCGAGTTCGTCGTCCTTGAGGCCTTGGATCTCGTTAGCATAGTACTTGCTTCCCCCGTTCTCCATCTTGGCATAGTTGATATCGCTCGGTTCAGAATACAGCGTGTTGCTATCGCCAAGGGGTGTGGTCGGCCAGGGCTGTTCGTCCAAGACAATGCCAGGTGTGGGTGGCCCCATGCTTCCGTTGACGTTGCTACTGCTGGTGTTGATGCCACCCGAAAGAATCACAGATTTCTGTCGATCGCGCTCGCGTCGCACTTCTTCTGGATGGTTGAAACGGAAAAAGTGATAGTCGCCCAGAATGATGCGGTAACCGCTCTTGAGTCGTCGTGGCTCTGCAATCCGCATCCCATTGACCATGGTTAGCGAGCCTTCGTTTGGATGTAGCGTGACCGTGCCATTCCCGTTTTCAAAGACACAGTGTTCTTCTTGGATATTGCTGCCGGAAAGTCGAATTTCTGCTGGCGTATCGCTGCCTTCTTTGCCCACACGCGTGTTGCCTGGCTTGAGCTGATACACGAGACATTCGGACATGAGCGGGTCTTCGCTCAAGTTGACCAAATGCGGCATCTTTTTGGGCGTGTAGACGCCCACATTGTTCTTGTACACTGTGATGCCGAGTTCTTCCAGTGCACGTTCGCGCTCGACTTGGATCTCTTCCGTCTTTTTGAGCTTGTCTTCCCATGTCTCGTTGAGATTGGCTAGTAGTTTTTCGGATGACGTGAGCTGTTCGACGATTTGTTGCTGCGTCATCTTGCGGACAGTGCCGCTACTATCGGTAACCTCAATCTCCTGTGATCCATTGGGCATACTGGATAGGGCTGCGGCAGTAGTAGCTGCATCGCCTGATTTCGTACGATCGCTGCTTTTGCTGGCTGGTGAATTGCCTTTGTATGTACTTTGGGCTGCTAATTGCTCGGCAACCTCGGGAGCATACACATGTAGACGGCTGCGCAACAAATCAAGCTCTTCCTTGAGCTCGCGGATGACTTTGGCGTTGGGATCTTCGTTGACAACGGCCTTGTTCTTGATCTTTTTGGCCTGGTCTGCGTAGCGTAGCGTACTCAGCGTCTCGTCGTAATCTGCAGGTGAAATGGCTGCAATCATGGCTGTTTTCGAGTTGCCACCGAGCGAATCTTTTAGTAGCCAGGTCAGCACCTAAATAATACATCCATGTACTGGTTTAGCTTATTCTGTATAGAGTCTTCCTGCTGCCAAGTTGCTTAATGCAAAAAAAAAAGATGCTGTACCGAGTCACGATAAGGAACAAATACTTCCTTTGCTTTACGGCCCTTCTTTGGTGCCTCCTGCATCGATTGCTCAGCCAGACCAGCAATGACTTTACCCAGCGTCGTCAGTGATCGGTTGATGTTGGCGCCTTCTTTCAACCGAGCACCTGTCGCGCCTGTACTGTTGGCACGTTCACTTCCGGCCAAATCGACAAGACTGATACGAGCGACTTTTTCGGTCTCCAAGTTGGTCACGTCGTCTTTGCGTGTCTGGGTTAGGATCAATGTGAAAACACCATGGGACCGAGATGATGTCGCGTTCATGTTGGTTGCTGCGACCGTGCGTGCCTATAATGATTTTTTTTTTGATATCGTGGGGTTTTTTTAATATAAAAAAGGAATTATATTCGTTATAAAACTGTTTTTATTGACTTTGAAGAAAGAGAAAAGAAAATATCTTGTAGTAATGCTTTGATAATGACGATGAAGACGATTGCGACAACAAACCTTGTTTCCTTCATCCATCAACTGATTGATTTTATCAAACGAGTTAACTGCCATCTTGGAAAGATCTTCAACATAAGGGCCTAAGCTCGGATGCTCGCGCACTTTGAGATTGGACTTGTTTTTGGGATTCAACAAGTCGCGCACTTTTTCGTTGTAGATTTCAATGTAGGATACTTCGACACGACAGGTTGTTCGTTCGTCGGAAATGGCATCGATACGGTTGAACAGTTCTGAGCATGTTCGTGGTGTGATGCCCTTGTCTTCACCATAACCCATCTATTTGACAAATCTGTCAGTTTTTGTTGTTCATGCAAATACCCGAAAATGAGATGGAGAGTACCATTGAATACGATTTTCCCGAGCCCGTTTGACCATCTTTTTTGAGTATGTTAGTACGTCATTTGTGTCAAATGTTACAAAGTGAAGAGAATAAAAACCTACAAGCAAAAATACAGCAGTTGTAACCATTAAAAGCGTGGTCGAGTAACTCGACACCCAAATCATTAAAGACCTGCTCCTGATCGGCATAAGATGGGTCCGCCTTGTCCGCTGACCAGTATGATTTGTCGAACGTGAATGGCTTGACATCGTCTTGCGTTCCCGTTTTCATATCTTCCGGTTTGCGTATCACCGTCTGGTTTCCGTTCATTTGAATCAAGCACTCTGCGCCACGTGCAAGTTCTACATTTTATTGTTGTTGTGCTTTTAGTTCTCTTTAGGCTGTTTGAGGAAAGCGACAGAATGACGGGCACTGCAAGAGAAGGGTCTATCTGTCTTTTATCGTTTCCTCCCCCCTCAGGGTTCTCGACCCGGTTCATACAAGGGAGCACCACAAATAAAAATGTTGTTGTTGTTGTTGTTTTTTTACCTCGCGAATTCATCGGACGACAGCGAACAACAACTTTGATATTGCCTCCACTCATGGTGAGCGTTTGTGATTGGATTCAAGATAGATGGAGAGAGAAAGATTTAAAATAGATACGGAAGGTTTAAAAAAATACAATATATTTATAAGTGTTGTTTTGGAGTTAGTCCCTTTGTCGCTTTTTTCACAGTTGTTGTTGTTATTGTGATTTGATAAAGTAATTGTGAAGAAAAAAAAATAAATAATTAATAGAGAGGAAGAGAGGGAGGCGAAAGAAGGGTTTTTGAAGAGGAGAGGAAAAGAAAAAAAAAGGGGGGGTGGGGTTTGCTCTCGGAAAAGGCGCGCAGGAACAAGGCGGGCAAAAAAAAACAGACGCTATTGGGTATAACGTATGAACGTAGTCTCTGTTCTTTCAACGAAATCCTGAACTCGCCATTGACTCAGATGGAATTTGATTATGCTCACGAATCGTTTCATACTCGTTTTTTTCCAGGGCGTAATCGCGATCATTATGCCAAAAAAAAAAAGCCAGCAACCTTTTTATTTGAATTGTGTCACTTTCTGCTTAAGCCGTCTTGTCTCTGTACTCCTTTTCTTTCTAAGCACAGAGTACGAGAGTAGTCAAGTGAAGCGCGCGTGTATCCTATGTGTGTGTGTGTGTGTTTCAGGAAGCGTAAAGACCATGTTTGTCCCTATGATGGTCAAGACAGGCATAGTTCATTTGTTGGCATGGCGACGTGTGCCTGATTGATCGCTGTATGAAAAACTAAACACAGGAACCCGAATGGTCCGGTATACACTAGATTAGATTGGTATCAAACAAGAAAACGACTTGTCGGTGTTATTATAGTTTGTATGACTTGAAGTAGAGGGAGTCAAAGAAAAAACTTGGTTCTGCTATGGTATGCGTTGATGATGATTGACAATGATAAGGGAAGATTGTGCGTACGATTACAGTGGCCATTTAAAGGAAGCCAGGATCAGCATTTTTCATCTGACGATACTGACGACGACGATGAAGCAAGACTGCTGCTCGAAGAAGAAGAATGGAAATTGAACAACGACCGGTCATGGCCAAGCCAAGGGATGGTGGAACCATCAAACATGCCACGCTGCTCTAACTTTTCAAACTTGTGCGGATCAAAGTCTTCCAGTGCCGAGGGGCCGTTTTCATTCACGAATGATGTGATGTCGTCCGATAAGCGCTCACGCATACTGCGTAAGTGGGCTGCAGCACTTGGGTTCAAAGTGGAAAGAAGTAATGGATTCAATGATCTATGATAACATAAAAAGGAGCAGATGTTATTAATAACAACAACGTGTGGTGTATAAATGTGAAACCATGAGCAAAACATAAACAAACAAAGAGATCTTCCTATCCGCCGCCACTCATCAACGTACTTGTACAAATCAACACCCGTTTCCAAAAGTCGAATGGCAGCATAATGCAAGAATGGCTGGATCAAGTAGCTGGCAATGGACCAGCCCAGAATACGGCTCAAGTCCATGTGTTGTGGGTACTGCGTCATGTACAGATAGCCAAACAGGATGGTCGAATAGAGGCCATAGACAACAGGCGCAAAAATGGCAACGACAAGGACTTTCCACGTCGCAAGGACATCGCGAGCAGCAATTTTGACATTGGAGCCTGCGAGTGCCTCTGTGATATACACACACACACAAAAAGGTTTTAATACACACGCACTCTCTCTCTCTCTCTCTCTCTCTCTCTCCTAGAACAGCAGTGACTGTTTTACCTCTTTGTTTTTTCTGGCTGATGGTAGAGACAAGGAGGACAATGGGTGAATTCAGAAGGAGACTAACATTGAAGCATTCATTTAGCAGAGGGAGACAAAGAGAGAGAGAAAACCACGAGTATTACTAACTTACGCAGGAAATCCGACACATGCAAGTCCGACCAAGCGAGCAATACGCGACAACAGCAACGAGACGGCAGACAGCGGCGCAGTCTTTGTTCGTTCCACCTGATGATCACGCAGTCCAAAATACTTGAGTGTGTTGTTGTAAGCTTGGACCTTGCGCGCTAATTCAATCAAACGCGGATCCTTTTCAAAATGCTTGTAGCCAAGCAAGAAACGACGGTTGAGTTCCACCACCTGATCCAATCGTAGTTTGCGTTCAGCTGCAGGGCGGTACAATCGACGGGCTGCAGCAATCATCTAAAATAATGCATTTTGGAGATCCGCCATAATGGGGATTTTTTTAGACATTTTCATGTGTCAAAACAATGCAAACTATAATAGAGTGCTACTTACCATAAGGGTATCATAGCTCGGCGCATTCACTGTGACACTCTTTAATCCCTCATGGCCAGCTTCCAAAAGTGCGGCAATGGCCTCCCGCTTGGCAGCGCCACCTTGCTTGTATTGCTCGACCCATTCGTGTTCGACCGTAATAGGAGCACCGTATGAAATAACAGCGCGTGATCGGAACTTGTGTGGATGGAAATAGTTCAGTCCTATAGCAAATGTCATGATTATTAAATATATTTGTAACCTTTGGATGGTACTACCGTGATATGAAAAAGGCTTACCCACAGGAACAATCTGATGAAAGGGGGAAAAAAAAAGAACAGCAATTTAGAGTTGATCATTTGATTTTTGGTGAGATGTTACTACTATTGTTACCTTGACCGAAATGCCGGGATGTTCGGCCATAGCACCTAATGCCATTATAGCGAATCCAGCTAGTAATGATACACAATAAAAATAATCAGCGTGCTAAGTATTCTCGTACTGGACGTTGAATAAGCAAATAGACAGCAATGGACTATCCTCTACCTTTGAGTGGAAGCATTTCAGAACGATCATGGCTACCACCTTCGGGAAAGATCACAATAGAACCCGATTCAGCAAGACGCTTATGCACCTGATCATACAAGGTGCTCTGATCGATATGCGGGATGATTTTATACGTGACATCCTCTGCTACCACATTAGGTTCTGCCACAGGCTTCTTGAGCACGACTACGGTATCCGAGATTACTTCTGCTACTTCGACTTTCAATGGCTTGCTGAGTGAAATTAAATCGCGTGCTGCCACTTGTTGGTGGAACGCCGTATCTGTGCCGATCAAGCGTGATCCATCTTCTGACAAACGGACGGTTCCTTTGCCTTTGGATGCGAGATCTTGAGGTCGGATAACAGGAACTTTTTTTTTGTAATTGTATAATATGCTAGTCAGTAATTTTCCTTCGTTTGCCCCTTCCTCCCAACGCGTAGTATATATCCATTTTGGATGAACCAAGTAGAACTCACTGGCTTTTATCATTGTGGCCAGCTGGCCAATGACCTTTTTCTTGAATGACGATTTGGCCATGAGGGGTGCGAATCGACGTGGATTGGTAATAAGCACCATGCCCTAATACGTTGAAAAGGTTTCAGTTCACCGCTATGGTATATAGAAAGAAAGAAGAGAGACACTTACGGGATCAACGAATTGATTGGCATGGGGGCCAATAATGAAAATGACGGGATCGTTTTCGGGCACTTGGGAAGACCCTGTTGACCTGATCTCTCGGAAGAATATGGAGGCAGCTACTTTGAAAGCTGCCTTGACTGAATCGTAGGCAACTGTGTCCATTTAGTTTATGGGGTGTGGAAAATAAAAGAAAAGAGAGTGGGAGAAAGAGGGTTGGCGAGAAAAGGATGAAAAGGAGGTGAGGTATACGAAAAAGAGAAGAAGTGTTTAAATCACATGGCTGGAAGCAAGCCTGTTTATATATCAGGCAGCTTTATGCTGCTAATAATGTCAATCGAGCTTCCAATTCACGAGCACGCTTTGTGTAACCATAGCAGCACTTTGTCGTTTATTCGCTGTTCGGTTTGCACGACGACCACTTTTTTTTTTTCTTGGTTACTCGAGGTCTTAGTTTTAAAGATTTCCCTTTCTCTATTTTAACTTTTTTTTTTTTCCATCACGCATTCTTTTCATTCACAGTCTACCTACCAACCTCTAAATACTATTCAAACCATGGATACTGATGAGCAAAACAAGGCTGATGTCAGCCCTATCATTCGTCGTTTGCAAAACAAGCCCGAGATTCCGACAATCGACTTTACCATGCACAAGACCGAGGATGGTACCATTGTAAGCACAAGAGAACGAGTCATTAAAGGTACTCTATACATATATTCAGCCGAGAAATAGTTTTCAAACGTCTCAGGGACTGTGAGTGCTTTCTTTGAATTAACACTGTTTTAATTGTGTGTGTGTGTTGGGTAAAACAAGATGTTCCTGCACCAGCAGTGTCTGTTCCTACAGACGAAGAATTTTGGAGTCAAGAACGACCGGGCTTGCCAAATATTGCATTCTTGAAAGACCATTTTTATCGAGAAGGACGACTGTCTGAAGAACAGGCATTGTATATTATTGAGAAAGGCACCGAGATACTAAAGACAGAGCCTAATCTGTTGGAAGTGGGAGCACCCATCACAGGTACCGTCCGTGTGTGTGTGTGTGTGTTTATGTGTGTCGTTCGAGACTCTCTCTTCTAACGGGTTTTTTTTTTATATTTACAAACCCAGTATGCGGTGATATCCATGGTCAATACTATGACTTGATGAAGTTGTTTGAAGTGGGTGGCGACCCTGCATCAACGCGATATTTGTTTTTGGGCGACTATGTGGATAGAGGATACTTTTCAATCGAGGTATGTGCGACATGCATCAGATGATAATGACGATGATGGAATGGTGATGATGATGATGGGATGGCTGGACAGTGGGCTGTGCGGGGTAACATTTGCCACTTGTATGTGTTTTTTTCAAGTGACACTAATTTTTTTTACAAACGGCGACGGCCGATATTGCCGAAACATCATCTCTGATAGTGTGTATTATACTTGTGGTCTTTAAAAATGTGGTATCCCGATACCTTCTTTTTGCTTCGAGGCAACCATGAGTGCAGGCACTTGACAGATTATTTCACCTTTAAGATTGAATGTAAGTTTTCTTATTGGTCTCAAGGCACACTACACAGAGAGAGAGAGAGAGAGAAAGATGGAGTGGCCTAGTGTAAGAATAGAATAGAGAAGAGAATCTCGCTAACATTTTCGGGACGGAAACATATTTAGGTCGACATAAGTATACTGAACCCGTGTATGATGCATGTATGGAATCGTTCTGCTCACTGCCCTTGGCCGCCGTCATGAACCGCCAATTCCTGTGTATCCATGGCGGTTTATCCCCTGAATTACAAACTTTGGATGATTTGAGAAATGTAAGCAAGATCTTGCACAAGGAAAAGGGAGCTAGAGAGTTAGTTAGTCGGTTGACTGGTTAGTGGATGAGACACATGCATTAGGAAGGAGGTTACTAACAATGTCTTTTGTTAGGTTGATCGTTTCCGTGAGCCTCCTACGCATGGATTAATGTGTGATTTGCTGTGGGCCGATCCGTTGGAAGAGTTCGGTCAAGAAAAGACAAACGAGTTGTTTATTCACAATAATGTGCGAGGATGTTCATACTTTTTCAGGTAATTCACATAATGAGAGGGGGTGCCAACGAAAACTGGTTTAAGATTGTGAGGAATTGTGGTTGTGGTTGTGGGTTGTTGTTGTTTTATTCATGCAAAGCGGAATTTGATTCAGTTATCACGCGGCATGCGCATTCCTTGAACGAAACGGCTTATTGTCAATCATCCGTGCACACGAAGCTCAGGATGCAGGCTATCGCATGTACCGTAAAAGCAAAACAACATCCTTCCCCTCGGTCATGACCATCTTCTCTGCGCCCAACTACCTAGACATATACAACAACAAGGCTGCCGTCCTCAAATACGAAAACAACGTCATGAACATCCGTCAATTCAACTGCACACCCCACCCCTACTGGCTTCCGAACTTCATGGATGTATTTACATGGAGTCTGCCATTTGTTGGCGAGAAGAGTAAGTTGTCTATACGCGCACGCGTGTGTGCTGTGCAGGATAATTGGATCGATGCATGGTCCATGGATACTCACCTCTCTACTTACTCTAGTTACCGACATGCTGATCGCCATCTTGAACATTTGCAGCAAAGACGAATTGGCCGACGAAGAGCACCGGTTATCACTTGAAGAGTCTGCCTCGTCTTCTTCCAAAGAGCAAGAAGAACGCCGAACTGTCATTCGCAACAAGATCCTTGCCGTTGGCAAGATGTCACGCGTATTCTCTGTATTGCGTGAGAACTCTGAGCGCGTGATGGAACTCAAGACGCTGTCACCAACAGGCAAGCTGCCATTGGGAACCCTTGCCCTTGGCGTCGAGGGCATCAAGTCGGCGATCACTACATTCGAGGATGCCAAGCAGGCCGATCGTGAAAACGAACGACTGCCGCTTACGCGCGAAGCCAAAGAGGCGATGCTGAAGGAAGAAACGGATAAGCGAATCCATGATGCAGTACAGGAAGAGGACAAGAAATTGAACGAGGTGGCGGATGCAATCATGAGCGATGCCGACTGAAAGAAATAGCAGCAGGAGAACCATGCTAATAATGATTATTCTTTATAAAAACACCTATTATTCTGTAAAACGATACGATACCTTTTTAAAAAAAATTGAAAGACATTTTCTCCATCTTCCGTACTCACCCAAAACTCTCCCCTTTTCCTCTTTTCCCGGTGACGAAAACAAAGCATCAAATTTGGATAAAGTTTGATCGATTTGTTTAGTATTAGTTTATGTACACACACACACACACACACACACACACACAACAGCAATCCAACAATGACGCATTACATCTTCTGTTACTCCCAACACGATACACAAACAACCTCCTTTTTCAGCTAGTTGTGTGTGTACGTGCCTCTCTCTCTCTCTCTCTCTCTCTTATTTCCTCTTTTTGTGATAATAAATATATTTCTTTACCAATGAATGAACGTTGGACTAGTCCGTATTGGTTAGCATCCGTGCAAGCAGCCCGATATCCTCAACCTGTTCCTTCCCGGTCTTTGCCCACTCATACTCCAATAATGGACTATTACGACTACAACCCTCCTAAGAATAATAATAAAAATCATCATGCCATCACCTCACCCACTTGTCGCCACCATGTTTCAAATAGAACCAAACGACGACGTCCCAAAAAGCACCCGCAACCTGTTCAGCAGCAACAGCAACAACAACAGTATCTGGCACGTCGATTGTCAGCTCCTCATCAAATGTCCAACGATCATTCAATGCCATTGTATCCTCATGAGCCCCTTCCCTTGTCATCGTCACCTGAACCGGTTATATCGTCGGAAGCAACGACAGAGTCTGTAATACATCCGCCTCCTCTGTCTCGACAAAACAAGCAACAGAAACAACAGCAACCGCAACAACAGCAACAACGCAAAATCACGCGTAAGCCAGTGCCTGTAGCTCAACTTACACATGCCATAGAAGATATCTATTTAGCAGATGTGAATAGTAAAGAGGAACCTATTACACGGCCGTCGCATCCGCTAAAATCGTTACAAAACCAACAAATTCTCTTGCGCTCACCATTATCTGTCTCATCCACGTCCAGCAGCATCTTTGAGCTATCATCGCCTTCTTCTGTTTCTTCAACATCATCATCTTCAAATGGCTTTTATCCTCCTACTGCTCTACCAGCACCATCGGCACCACCGCACTCCCATCCTTATCAATATCGACAACAGCATCAGCATAAACAACGTAAACGACAATCATTACCACTCATGCCAACAACTACAGAAACAGCACGTACTGCCACGGCTTTGAGTACAAATGCCACACGACATCAATACAAACCGCATAAACTGAATCGAATACACTCTGCCCGACCAGAAGAAAGCGATGACGACAAAGATGAGGACGAAGAGGACCTCAGTATGGATGAAGATGATGCAGCAGCAGAAACCGACAGTGTATTACACCCGACGTTTTGGAATCCAAGGCCTGGGCCAGATGTTGGCGCACCATTACGGCGTAATCTGTCTCGCAGACTCAAAGGTCTCTTACAGCCACAAAAGGTTCGGATAGAGGGCGTGACCAAGGATCAGCATGCGGCATATCGCATATGGAGTGTCAACCGACCGAAAACACCACCACCGCCAGCAATATCCGCATTTGGTAGTAATTATAATGCTTCTGGTGACACGACAATAACGACGACGACGCCAATGTCGACTCACGGAGTCGCGGAGCCCAGGCTATTGAACCCGTTCCAGATCCTCAGGTATACACGCCAAGCTTTTTTTTCTCCTTCAACATATAACACACACTTTAATCACAATACATATGCTAATACATGTATTCTCTTAGTAATACGCTGCCAGTAGCCGACGAGCTTTCTATAGACGATTTTTACGAGCATGAATTTTCGCACATCGATACATACACGGCCAACGTCAAACAACGCGGACCCATGTTAACGCCCACACTACTAGCAACGAAATTTCTGGCACGACCGTATCGGCGCGATTTACATAAAGTGCGGGCTATTTTTGTATGGATTTTACAAAATATTGCAATAACAGTAGACCATCACAGCAACAACAACAACAACAACCAACATGCAACAGTAACAGACGATGAAGCAGCAACAACAACAGCCGATAAGGTGTTGGCTCGAAGAAGTTGTTCATCGGCAGTTGGGATGGCAAACCTATTCTGTGAAATGGCCAAAGCCATCGACCTTGAAGCTCAAGTCGTATATGGCTATCTCCGTAGACACAAGGATACCATGGCTGCAGATGGCATGCCAACAGAAAATCATGCTTGGTGTTCTGGTAAACAAGCAAAAAGAAAAGACAGTTACGATGTTGACGCAACGAATGATTTTTCTAACAATACAAAATTAATGGGGTCTTATCATACAGTTAAAGTAGGAGGCGAATATAGATTTATTGATTGTTGGCTAGCATCACCTTGTCACCAGTATAACAACAAGAGTAACAACGACAACAATGGTGATACCATGCCACTTGTAGTAGAACCACACTGGTTTTTATGTCGACCGCTCGATATGATCTACACCCATTTCCCGACGAGCGCCGTCGACCAATATCTCGAACCACCTGTCAGCATCAACACATTTTTCGCCTTGCCCTTCGTCTGCCTACCATTCTTCCAGCATCACATCCACGTGCTCGACTACGACCCTGCCAGTTGCGAGCTTGTCGGCGACAAGATGTGCCACATTACGCTCCAAATCGATCCAGACATTGCATGTTACGCTGAAGTCGAAACGCGAACGACACAACATGACATGACGCGCACAGCACTTTTGAAAACACGCGGATTAGCACAAAGTTTGGATGACAATGGCGGTGATCGGATATGTAAAATCAAGGCCCAGTTACCGCCAGGTCAATGGATGGGTTGGCTCAAGATTTATGCCGGTCCACGTGTGGTTCCGACAACGGGAACGGGCCAACAGCAACAAGAAAAGCTTGGTGCAAAACATTATCCATTGGCGCTCTGTTTCCGCTTGACGCAACAGATGCCACAAATACAACAACAACAACAACAACAACAGCCGACATTTGATTTTGTCCATATACATGTATGTCAGTACGAATTCTATGTGCAAGAACCACAATGCTATCAACTGTATCCGCTGCAGAAATACAACTTTTCGGTCAAAAGCAATCAAACGCACCACAAACTCGCTATCCGTAGTCCGAACGGGCGACTCTATAAACTAATGTATTATCCACAAGACCATACTTATGACGGCACCATCACTGTGAGTGAGGTTGGTCAATGGACGTTGGTGTGTTTGCTCCACCATGCTGGTGGTCTTTACGTCGTGGCAAGCTGGGAATGCAAAGTTTAAAACGTATATTGATCGTGGTCCCCAACCCCCACTCAACAAGAGATTGTACATATTTGATAAAGTAAAGTAAAATATTACCACGTTGTGTTGTTGTTTCTCTGTTTTTCGTTTATTGATATGTTTTTGAGGTAAAAATGCACAAGAATATACGCTGAAGTATATGTTTATATGTATGTATGAATGTATTTTGACTAGTACTGGACTGCTGCTGCTTCTACGCTCGGTTCTTTGCTGCTTGTTCGCGAACCCGTCGCTCATATTCAACCTTATCCTTTCTGTAATACATACATGTGACGTGTGTTAATTCCGTCGTCCTTTTCTTTACCATCAATTCTTGTTTCTTCTTTTTACCTGAAAAGCATATAAGCATCTTGCTGTGCAGGACTGTCCGGATTGGGATCATTCAGTAGATCTTGGATGCCCAAAAGGATCTATTATCAACATATACTTTAAATTTCTCCCCTTTCCCATTATCGCTGCGCATCTTCTTCTCTTGTCGAAAAGCCGTTATACCTGTCGCAAAGTAATTGCTGGCTTCCATCCTTCATCTTCATTCAGAATGGAAAGACATACAGTGCCTGATGGATAAACGTTGGGATGAAACAGTGGTGGAGTAAACTTGCCTATGAAAAAGGATATGTTTTTAGTCTTTTATTCTATAAAAAACCCAAGAAAGCGACTTATTCCCAGTCGTCAAGCCCGTGTACACTCATGCAGAGTTACTTACATTTTGGTGGTTTGCTTGGGTATTCTATAAAGATTGATATAATGCGAATGTATGCTTGTTAGTGAATTTCATTGATATGCGTTTTCTTATCCACACTATATTCGTTCAGAAAAAAAAACGCAATCATTACCTTCAGGAAAAATCATGGTGATCTTGTACACCCCATGTTCCCATGGAGTCTGAAAGGATTCAAGTAAGCTCATTTCTTCTTTTGTGTGTTTGACCACAATTTTCTTTTTCAATGGAACATTCTAAAGAACAAAGAAGCAAACTTACATTTTCTTTACCAGGAATGCCACATGTCCATTGCATGAGGTCGAGTGTGTTATCTGGAAGCTTACCAGGCCGTGCCCAAAAACCCTGTCCAATGGTCATGCAACTGTTAGCTAATTATCGAAACAATAAATGCAGGCTCCATGCTTTTTTTTACTATTTACATGAGGGTGGTCTTTACGCCACGATTTACGTTCTTCCATTAAACGACCACGTGCAATTCCGGAACTCATTGTCTCTTGTCTCTCTATTTTTTACGTTGATCTATTGCCAACAAAGTTGTATTTAACGCCCAAGGGCTTTTTAAAAAAAAAGAAATGTTTAATTTTCTGAGGAGAGGACCCGCTCTGCGATTTTTTTATAGCTGTGGCTCCTCTGGTGTTGATCCAAGTTTTTTTTTGCAGTCTCTTACAGATTTCAGAACATACGCTACGGCGATACATGTTATTACGTTCCGGGCCACTTTTTAACAAGGGCAGAGCTTAATATAATATGACGGGGCTTTTTTGAACATATTCTAGAATTCATATCCGAAAAATCCATCATACCCAAGAAGTTTGATATTGAGACGAATAAGCTCTCTATGTCAGCATTTACTAGACGCTTCCGTCTCCATCCCAAATTAACCCAACCGCCAGAAGTAAATGCAGCCCATCGTTTATGCCATGGACGGCCTCCCTAGTTAGGACGTTGACATATCCAAAAGCCAAATGATTAAATCACCACCTGGCGTGACTCCTATAGGAGATCGATAAAGTGAACCACTTAGAAACGCGATATGACGAGAACGAACCAGCACCAAGAAAAAGCTCTGCAGATGCCTGCCAGACCTTCTCCTTTTCAAAGTTCCGCGCCCATAGTAAAGGGTTGTTACACCTTTTTACGCGCTACATGGTCTTCCTCTCTTCCTTTGCCTACACATCCCTATAAAGTTCCTCTCCGTTTCTTCTCTTTCGATAGGCTTACTTTGTACATGTCAAGAAATGAGGAATACCATAAAAGTTGAAGACAAATAAAAAACAATGATTGCCTTAAAGAAAAAACGATGCAAGAAGCACTGAAAGACAAGTTTTGATCAACTTTTGGTATGATAAAAATAAAAACTACCTTTCCTTTTGATTGCGCGAAAGCCCAGATATCTAATCATTCTCTACGTGTACGTTGAAACGACCCCATAGGATTTGCAAAAGTCGGCAAAGAAATAGGTTCGCTTCCAAGCGTCACCAAGAACCAAAATCATACAGAAAGCGATTGTCACAGATATATTTAAAAGACTGACAACTAGTCGAGCAGTGTACCGGTTGTTCTATCCATGATAGCAGTGATATAGGTGATAATGAATTGTGGGCAGTTATGTGTGTTGCTAGATTAGCGATGAAATCCTGATACACGATCACGGCAAACAGTTTTAAAAAAACGCCAAGCTCCTGGTCATCCCTAGGTAAATAACATGGTTTGCTTGATTGGTTTATGTCCATACAACTCGAGTCGTCGACGATAGCAACAATAGCGGCCAGCCAAGATTAAACGGTTTGGGTCAACAAAAGACAAACATCCTTACAAGAAAAGTATGTCCATATCATAATGAATTTAGCTCTGAAGGTTTACATGTATAATATTTTGCAATAAGTCCCGTTGACATCATAATTTTCAGAGGTGCTGGATGACACCAGATGAGCCAAGCAAGGGGGTGAGGGGTGAGGCATTAAAAGTGAAAGAGAGTGTGTATCATACGCAAAGCTTTTTTCCAAATGGTCATTCTTGGCACTGTTGCCAAAGATGGGCTGCCACATGTATCGTAAGTTGCAGCTCTTCCTATGCAATACGATACCAATGGTAACATCTTTAACCGACAAAGAGCTTGGTCATAAGCTGAGGACCTTTTACGATACTTTAAAGTATAATTTGGGCCATTGTGCAGTTGACGATGCACAAGGCAAACGACAAGAGCTTCATCTAAACCGTACATTGCTTAATCGGCGAGGTATCGTCTTTGTTACCGTGATACCATCCGTTGCTGCTGTTGCTGCTGCTAACACTATAGGCGTAGTTGTAATATTATATGTAATGCAGCAGAACGGATTTTCCACTCTAGCACAGAGTTCTCAGGAAATAAACCTGAAGCACGAAATTGGTGATAATGCACATTTTAAATCCAGGCACGTGTATACCTTATTTTTCGCTGCCACACCACACGCAAGCTTTCCTATATATAGTAATAAATGCCAGCAGGTTCGTCTTTTTTCTTCTTTCGTTCCGGCGTATAGCACGCACCATTACAGTGAGTTCACTAGCACCCGACCCATACGGTACTGACATTGTTGTCAAAGTAGTGTAGGCTGTTGTTTCTGTCAAACTGGACGGTAAAATGGCTAAACGACACATGTACACAAGACTTTTTTCTTTCAACCCAACTTGTACTATTGTCGCTGTTGTTAGATGGCGCAGAAAATGTTTCGCGCGTATGAACATTTAGTAAGAGACCCTATCGGGTGCATCATTATGAAATCGCAGCAAGGTAACGTTATCATTGCTCACACGCAGTCTGCATACTCTATAGCATTATGTATTACCAGTGGGATTTCTTAAGACGTGTCATATTTGTCCTGATGATGGTTAATGACGTGTCGATCTTATATATGCTATGATTTATATATTATCAGATGGTAGCGATGATAGCTCAATCAAGAAGCAAAGCATCAGGAAGAAGCCAGACAGCTATGATACAGTAATACCACTGCAGTAATGGAATCACTCATATTCGTCAGGTGCAAGTTCATTTGAGGAAAAGGCGAGCAAGATGGCCCCTTTCGTAGATGGTTTGTTGAATTGAAGGCGTCCATTTGCGCCCTTTAAACTTCAGTAAATTCATTAAGCAGTATCTATACATAAATCTAAGTATGCAAGCGAGATCTACTCTTTACTATTGACCTTAGCACTGCCGATTCTTTGTTTTCGTTTAGTGTTTTCTTAGCACACTGACATAAAAGCCACTCACTAACATCAAACTACATTTCTAATACAGACGTCATCATCGATCTACTCAAAGGATACAAATTCGAGCAGACCAAAGAGTTTACAACGCGGTCAACATGCATAAGAACTATTTGCACGGTCATTGCGCAAGCCTTATCGCCTTCTTGTCGCCTCTTGGAAGTGACGTTTGGTTCAAGAATCACGCTTTAAAAGAACCAAAATGATACGAAACTCCTGTTGTGATAAGCTACGTGCAGGAAAAGAGAGAGAGGCGAGCAGCTGAAACAGACTTTCCGAATTTGAAGATCTGGCAGTTATCATATACATGTCTGTTGGCGTATGCTCTGGTGTTGCCTCTTATAAAATAACCCCTTTTCACAAGAAGGTCGCATCATATCTGCGGTAACAAGCAATGTAGGCGAACACAGAAAGTGAAGAGGAGTGTCAAAGTGTGATAAAGCGCGTTGTGATCATGTTACTGTCGTCTGTCATTGTTCTGCGCTTTGTTTAGCACGGAGCTGTGGGTGGGCAAAAAAGATAAGGAACTTGTCAAGCACATGAAAAAAAGACAAAGCAAAAAAAATAAAGCGGTAAAACGTTTATGAGAAGAGTGCGAAAAGAAAAAGATTGTTTTATTTTGTTTATCATTTTGTTTATTTGTGTTTAATAAAAATAAAAAGTTCGTTTTAATTATCCCACCACATACCCAAAGGTACGTGTCCACATTCCCACTGGTACATTGCAAAAGATTTCCTCCGAGCGGACCACTGAATCCAGCCAATCCTCAGAATCCTCTTGACAATCGCCAGCACAAGCATATGACCCGATCATGGCACAGAGCAGTGCATCTGTACTACAGACCAAAGCTGTACCAAAACGAACTGAAGAGAAGAGAAAAAGAAAGGCGAAATTGCTCGCTTTATATAGACATTTTTTCTCGTTCGGGACTTCAAATCCCCGTGGACTCTCATTGGCCCAGATAACGGATTGCGAATCAACTTGTGGGTTGCCTACTATGACATAACAAAACATACAGCACCAAAGGAAAGGAAAGGAGTGGTACTTGATGGTCAAGTAGACAAGCGTGCTTCGGCGGTAGTGGTACGTGTCTCTCACCATGCGGAGCTGTACCCTCCGACGATGTCGCCGCTTGGTTGTGAGGGGGTCCGTGCACGGCACCGTGTAAAGCGAAAACAAAGACACGAATGTGAATGAGCATGTAGATTCACGGAAGAAATGCTTTTCTGTGAGCAATCAAATGGCAATACAGGAGTGATTGACAAGGTAGACAATTCACTATCAGTGAATGTTGAGAATACATTCCACCCAGCAGCCAGTTTACAGTCCTTCACCCAACAAGACAAACAGCGTGTGTATATAGCGTAGTTCACAGTACTTTGATATTATTTTTTGACTGTGTGTGTGGTACGTAATGTTATGTGTGTGCGGAAAAAGATGCCCCCATCGCTGCAGTATATAATAAAGACCCGTTATCTTCTATGTTTAACCGTGCTCGTCAACTGCTGCTTTATCATTTTCGCTATCCGCCAACAGTTCTCTGAACCACGCCGTGTAACCTCCTCCCTCCATCCTCCATCCCAAGTATGTGCTGCTACAGATAAGTTGGCCCGCTCATAATAAGTATCTGCTGCCGCTAGTGAATTCGACTCATTCCTTCATTGTTTTTCATTGCTGCCGATAAAGTAAATCGGTTTGTTTGTTTTTGTGCGGTTCTACGTTCTTTTAAAGCAGCGTTCAAGATCCAAGGGGATGATCAGAAGAATAACACTACAAACGATGACTTCCTACAACTTTTGACACTTTTGCGTGCGTAATTCGTTGCCCCATTTATTACCTTGTTCACTCGCCATCCCTTTGTGCATTTCGAGTGCAAAGTCAATTGGCCAAATCGTTGCGTCAGAATGCGCTTTCACTCTACATAGTTTTCGTTTCAGGGGGAAAGCTGTTGGAACGTTCAAGGTTTCGACACACGCGTAACTTCGTCACTATCCAAAAAAGAAAGATCTGTGTTGTGCTCTTCCTGATTTTCCTCATTCCTAGACTACCTTTGCTTCCTGCTGATTTACTTCCGTTATGCTTGTCGTTAGTGTGGGTTTGTGCGTACGCGTTCATAGCCTTCGTTATGTTAAAAAAAAAGAGAGACGTAACGAATTTACCCCTATTGTTGCCTATTTCCACAGCAAAATACACATTGTGTTTCTGATCGTCTCTTTGCAGTCTACTTGTCGTTGCCGAATTAATGATGTTACGAGAGAAAAATCCTGCTCTTTTACTTTTGCTTTTTATATACGTTAAAAGCACCGTTTACTGTGCATTACGTCCCACTTAGCTTAACATATAGTCCCTTTTGGTATAAAATTACGATCCACGATCCGCTTAATTTTTATTAAGTCTTGTCTTTAGATGCCACAGAAAAGTGTGCTGGGGACGAGCAGCTTCTTCGCTACAAGACTTCTCCCAGCAGTAGTTCCATCCACGACTGGTGCATTGACTGGTGGCAAGGTGGCATATCAATTAAAGTTGGCAGGGATAGTAATATGTGTTTGCTCTTGGACTACATGCGTTTGCTTTAAACCATGTAGAATTTCCCGTATAATGAACGCTCCAAGGCTACGTTTTTGGTTTGAGCCACTGATCCGGTCAGTGTACGAAAATGTTCACCGAGCCATGTCACCTTTACCAATAGGTCAAGAAGGACTTAGTCTCTGGATCGCTTTCAAAGGCATTGCACACCGTGGGCGACGGCTGATAATGAGCGCCGAAATGACTAGTCCCTCCAATAGGGATCGTCGCTTTACAGGAAAAACTCATAATTCCTGAAATTAGTTTTCCCAACAGTGGATTATGATGTTTAGGGAATCGTTTGGTCATATAAACGTGTGGACAGTAGCATGTCATCAGATACATAATCAAAGGAAACAAGATGGGCGGTGGAAATAAGGAAATCACAACGTGATCTGCCGACGTTGGCCAACATCCTAACTTGCGTTGAATCGCTTTTAAATATAATGAGGATAATCATGAAATATCTCCAACAACCATTGGAAAAGAAACGTCGTATATTTGGGCAAGAAAATCATGGCAACTATCATCTACATTTTAGATGCGGTGCTTCCCGTTTTTGCACCATCATCTCATTGATACAAAGGGCTCACAATGTTTTTTGGTATAAGTTCTATTTCGCCCTGTACGTCGTTGGACACGCTGATGATTACGCCTTGCGTTATCAATCGACGCTCAAGCGAGGCGTGCCCTTTCCCCATTATGTTATCGAACAATTGACGAAACACCTTGTAGCCGAACAAATTGTAGAGTAGATAGTCTGCAAGAGAGACATTACCGAAACTACAATAACGTTTATGTGCAATACAGTTACGTGTATAACAATTCAATAGAATCTGTACAAACGACCTTTTGCTTCCTTAATATTATGTTGATAACTTTTCATTATAAAATAATATAGCTACTCATGTCTTTAAAATAATCTCTATAAACAACCCAAAATAGAGCTAGAGAAACATCTAGTAAAGGCTAAACTATGTGTACACTCGTGTTATTCATACAATCAAGTTTCCTATCTAACTGTACAAAATGCTGTTTTATTTAAGGCTGTCAAGGTGCCATAAGTGAGAACCTATGTACTGGTGTTACTGATTCCAGCATCCTGGCAAGTTTCTATATCATTGCTTTTCCAAAGCGCTTTGTGCTACGATGTTTCTTCATGTTTCTCACCGAATCGCGGTTTTCCATGAGTTAATACTCATGGGGTTTATGCTATTTACTTCTTGTTTACGAGGCTAGGTAGGACTCTATCCAAGCATAACCTTAGATAAAACTAAAAGAGGCTGTACTATAACGTAACTTTCCATTTTAGTATATTGTCTTAATCAGAGCAGTGCTGCCATGTCTTGGTTAATGTTATGTTATAAAAAGTGGAAAAGAAGATCTTGCAAGATAATGGCATATTTTGACGTTAGAAGCCAGAAAAACAGTGAGAGTGTTGCCAGCTCACACAGGAGCCCGAGGAACACGAAAAAAATAGAGCGCGGGTGCTTCGCACACATCCGAAAATATACACCGTGCTAGCGTGGTATGTAACACCCAATTCCCAGGTATTTTTCAGTAACAACCATGTTCCTCTGTCTCTTCGTCAGTGAAATGCCCAATGCAAGCTTCGCTTTAAAGTATATATCATAGTATAGTAGTAGTATAGGAGGTTGTAGGGGGAATGAGCTCTCTCTCTTTTTTTATATGTCAAATGGAGGAAAAAGAATATACATTATGCACAAAAAAAAGTATAAACATATAACAATCGCACATCCTCTAGGCAGCCTTGACGGCCTGTTCTTGCGCCTGCTTTTGCTTGTACTCATCCGACATACGGTAGCTAATGTAAAAAACCATGTTGAGTTGCCGTTCTTTTCCTGTTTCCTCTTTACTACTAGGAAGACTTACTTCATGATTCTTGCCACTTGCATCAGGCCAGTGCCTGCTACGAAAACATTGACAGTGCCGAGGGTAATGTTCTTGGGTATAATCACCATGGAATAACGGGTCCAGATAAGACCAGTGGCGACCAAAGCTATTCAAATAATAACTCACGTTACTTCTTTTGCTTGAAATGTATTTGCTTTTTCATACACGCACACCATACGCGAACGCTCAAATGAAAGAGACTTACACAAGTTTTGCGGCAAGCTCAAGTTTTCAGCAGGGCGCTGCAAGTCACTGATACCAGCAATGACCAAAGCCTAAATATAATATGCAAACATATAAAACGCACAATCCCATTATTCAGCAATCAGAAGGTTTTCACATAAACTCTAAATAAAAAGTAGAGTAATTTACCCATTTCATGGCAGGGGCCCAGAAGTGAATGGTCTTGGGACCCGCTGGCGAGTTGATGAATCTCGAGATTGCCGACTGTGATGCTGCAGAGGTGGCCATTTCTTATGTAAAATCTAGAAAAGGGGCGGGTAAAGACAGGTAAAAAAGAACCCAAAAAAAACCTGAGCTGGGGCAAACCCACAAAATATATATAAACCGGAACAGACCGGATGAATTCACTACCGGATAGAAAAGAGGAAGCCCTTTCCCCCATTCTGAACCGTGATTGGCTGGAGAGGGATTTCCTCTTTTTGGGTGCGGTGTGTGAGAAATTTGCAGTAGAGGTGGCGGGGGCGGTACGACAGGGCAGGCAGTAAGTTCGCGCTCTTTATAACGATCTTTTATTATTTTTGGAAAAGTTCACAAGAAACGTGGAAATAGTATGTACATGGAAAGTTGAATTGTTGGAAGGACAAGAAAAGAAAAACACTCTTGTTAAATGTGTGTAAGGTTGTATGTAAATATCAAATTTTTCCTTATCATCGTTCGTAGTTTGCATTGTATGTTTCTGAACAACGTGGAGGAGCGGTAGGACGCTTGCTTTGACGTCGAAGTAAGGTACCGGCTCGTCTAGTGGCTACAGATGGAGCGCGACGAAGTTTGTCGGTTGTTGATGGTTGTGGTACTCCATCCGTCGCATGGTAAACGCCATCTTTGTAGCAGCGGTCGTAGTAATCCTTGTCTAGAAAAACAGAACAAGCACTCATAATCAGTTATCACAATCGCACACTGACAACAGTGATAGATGGTAAAACGAGATGGATGCTTGTCGGAAAGGGCCTTTATCTAGAATGTACCTCTGGAATCGTACTCGGGCAAAAATGTGCGCCGCTTGGTGTACTTTTCAATTCGCCACATTTCGAGCTGGTTCTTTAGTTTTTCGATGAAACCGACCATGATGATCAAAGAGGTGTATTATAAGGAAAGGATAGGTATGTCTATATTACGATAAATGAATGACTGGTTAGAAAGAGTTATAGAGGAGAGGAGAGGAAGGAGGAGGAGAGGAGAAAGAGAAAAAGAAGAAAAGAAAAAGGGAAGAGGTGTGTGTCGATGATAAAGATCGTCTGTCTAGAACTACTTCCAAAAACACAATGATGGGATGGCGGAGTGTATACATTAGCAGTGGAACGGAAAAAAAACAATAAGCAGAATGCTGTAGTAAATATAGTAACACACACAAAACACGCTCATGTGTACACACACGTATGATACACACAGACAAGGAGGACAATGGTTGGCAATGGCCAAACGCTGCGCATTTGACAGGTCTTACTTGTAGCTTCTCTGATTTAGGTTTAGCGTCTAAAAAATAACACATGAACATCATTTAGTCCTTTTCTTCTGGGTTTCTTTTCCGTTTAATTGACATTGTTGATTTAAGCCTCCGTTTGTTGTTCAGACAAAAGGCGTCTTGAATAAGAAAGCCTACTTGTCAGAAAACTTTCGCTTATCGTTTTACCAGGTCAAAGTCGATCTTTTCTAATACTGTAACTAATATTTGTGATACCTGTTTAGATGCCGACATGCAACTTCTTATCGCATCACGATTGATAACTTTTACACGCTTTGTATTGTATAGACGCAATTCGTTGCTTACAGCTAAGATACACCACCATCCTGATGAGTTTCGTCAACGGATATTTTTTGTGTACTGTGGCCAGATAATTACTTACGTAACGCTGGGAATTGCTGCAGTAACAACAGAAACAGGTACAAGTGGCTACCCTAAATTACGACTCATATCTCGCTATCTTTACTGCTGCAGAATAAACTTTTTTTTGGGCATTCTAATCCCTGCTCCGAGTAACATTAATAGATATCATCTTATTTCTACCAAAATTCCCTAGTATTGATCATAATATGATGCATTCCTCTGAGCTACCTCTAGATCGACAAGCCGTTTCGTGAATTTAGCAGTGAAAAATGAATAGCGATATATACTTTCCTCCGCCCATTCACACAAGATTTTTATTCGCCTGTGGTACCTGTGTACGAGAGACTTTCGTTTCTAGGCACCGCTCTTGATGTAAAATAACCTCCAGTATGATCACTGACCGACAAAGAGGGCGCAAGGTAATAAAGACAAGAGGGATGTCGACGGTGTACACTGTATATGTTTTATAGAAAAATCAGCCATTGGATTACAGTCCAACGTAAGGTACAGATGTACCAAGCTTGGACTGGCAACATGTCATCAGACATGCTAATAATACACTATTTGTTGCACATACATATATATATACAGGGTTTCCAAAAAGTGGTCCTAGTCATACCCAGCCGCCGACTTGGATAGTCGGATTTTTACTTGCGGTATTATCGAGGAACAGCTCGACAAGTAACCGCAACCGCAACCGCAAGTGCGGGGTCTACATTATACACCTGTGCACGCTTGCCATTTGTGGCAGTTGCCGTCAGTAGTTTATTATCCCTCTCCTCTTATCAAACAATAAAATGCCTGAACTCGGTGAAAAACGCAAAAGAACTTTTGGAGTAGTCCACAAGTATGGGACGAAAAAGCTTACGCACACGACCTCTTTGATCGGACGTAATGCTTCGAATTCGCGAGCTCAGATTACACCCTCTGACACCAACGAAAATGAATGGGCCAATGTCGTTGAAAGTCCTTTCGTCATGCGTGAAAGGAAGAGAACCGACGAACGTGCCAAGGAATGGGCCGAGCTCTTACCTTTTCTCACTGAGGCGTATATCCAAGGCTATGGTGTCCAGGTCCCAGTACCTCAGTCACTAAAGGCCACCGACGACGTTTTCTTGACGTGCGCGTGCAAAGAGAAGAAGTCGACCTACGTCACGACTGTCTATAAGTGTGGTATGAATAGAAGCAGTTCCTCAACTTTACGAATAAGAAAAGGAAAAACAGTTAGATAGTAGACCATCAATTGATCAACATATGTGTTAGGGATTCGCCCTGACAAGATCACTTACTGCAAGATTTGCCCCGAACATTCGTTGCCAGTAGTCACGATGCGTCGTCATCTCTTTCCTTTGACACCATCCGATCCGCAGCACGCCATTCACATTGAACAAATGCGCAGTTTCCATAACATGCATTACATTTGCCGTGTCTCGATCCATGCAATCGCTGAATGGGCTCGAGCAGAGTATCACTTCAAGGTATGATTAGTTTAATAGATGGAAAGATAAGTAAATAGGATGAACTTAATGTGATTACACACTTTCTATTAGCTTCCGATACCTGCATCGTTCAAGCAACGACTGACGGAAGCTCTCCCAATTTATGGGAGATTAATGCTCAATCTGGAGAAGAAGCATCGAGATCTGTGTGACCTGGATGACGCATGTCCCGCATGCAGATATGCGGTATGTTTCTAATTTATGTGCTGTGAAACAATTTTCTATATTAAGGAGTTAAACATGTCGAGCGTTTGTTTTAGTCTGGTCCCAAGATCATAGCTGGAGATGGAGACCAGTCGCTACGTCGGTTTGCTAAGACAAAGGATCCGAAGGAAGTCGCCTTTGAAGGCCAAGAGGAAGTCGATCGCTCGTGGGTCAATCCGGAGCAAGTAATTCAATATGAAAGCTCGGTATGAATATTTAGGACATACATGGAGCGTGCATTTATATTGAATAACCTTAATTCCCAGGCAACTGACGGATGTGAGACTTGGCAAGCTCTCAACTCAAAGAAGAGAGTAAAAACAAGCCATCTGGACCAGACAGGAGCATTCGCGTGTACGTGTGGTCATGGTCATCCAGTGGCCATCATCGATATGAATACGCCAGGCGAACAGTGAGTTTCTCGAAGTATACATTTAATGTATCAGGTCTTACTTTAACCGATGTCAAATGATACTAGATATACGTACATGCTTAGCTGTCTACAGAAGGTGATCGACTTACCCCTTTACGGATCAAACATCCGCATCATGTACGATGTCGGTTGCAAGCTTCGTCCTGCTCTGCAGGTAATCTTCGATTCTTAAATACCATACACTGCAAACCTATCAGCGGTTACATATCTCTCTTTTTTTATTTCTTATTACCAGAGAACCGATCGTCTACACAGCATTAAGGATGTTGACATTGCTGTCGGCATCTTTCATGTAACTGGGCATAATCCCGAATGCCAAATCCATTTTCACCCTCGTTTGAGGATCGGCTTTGGGCTGCAAGATGGTGAACATTTAGAGAGACTTTGGTCATTCCTCAACGGATTTGTGTCTATGACACGACATATGTCGTCTCTCAACAGACGACTCAAGCTGACGATTGCTCTGAACTTTTACGCCCAACAAAAAGATGACAATCTAGGTATATCAATCGCACCAACATGTCAAATTGCAGCAAATCCACTGAACGTTTGCTCTTGTAGGCCAATACATCCGCCGCAGATACGTACGCACACTCAAGCTTGAAGAAGATGCGCTGAAAGCTCTAAGACAGTCGGCGTTATGTCAATGATGAAGAAGCGATGAAAGAGATGGAAGAGAAATGGATAGACACGTCGCCGAGTCCAAAAAAGAAACGTCGAAAAAGATGGCAGCAGCAGATTTGCTCAAACATGCAGAGCTATAGAGAATTTGCGTGTTGCTATTGCTATCTATGATATTATTAATCAAGCTTTCAAACACCAAGGCAATGGTAACATCTTTGATCAGCTCGATCGAGTAAAGACAAACTCATCTGAGATATTGTCTTTGTAGGCCACAACCAGACGCAGAATCTCGCAGGCCAAAGACAAGCAGCGCGAAATCAAATTGAAAAGCGCCTCATAACATACAACACGAAGATCAATGCCGGACCTGTTTTTGGTACGTGTTATATCTTCGCATCATACAGCATGACCGACTTTAACAAATGACTAACGCTATATGCAGGCTTCGAAGATTATGGTAACGATATCAATGCAGTACTTCGAAAAGACAGTCATTTACGTTTTCGCATGAACATCATTTGCACCGTTGAGGATAACGCACCATACGACGCTTTCCATGGTTTGCAAAGAGCAAACGAAGAACTTGCTTTTTTGAAGGTATGGAAATTTTGCTTGACTTAATTTGCCGGTAATGTTAATGCACAGATTTATGGACCGCTATTAGGACGAAGCCGCTTCTGTGTTAAAGTATGGACAAGCTGCTATTGATAAGCTCGAAATGGCTATCAACGCAGCCGTAACTGTGCCATACAATTTGGAAGCGTGTTATGGCCAGATCGGTTTGATCCAAATGTGGAAACGCAAGTTGGAGCGTGCCAAGTCTTGGCAAAGAGAACAAGCGAAACAATTGGCCGTAATTCTTGATTCTACCGAGGCTAACCCAGGATCCTTGTCGCTGCTTCGTAATGCTGCTGGTACGGAAGAAGAAGACTTGGAAGAAGAAGAAGAGGAGACAAATTGGAGGTGCTAGACCCTACAAAGATAGCCGATGAAGTTGAAGACGAGGAATGGGAAGTTGATCCAACTCTATTTGGAGACGGAATTCCGGTTGAGATGCACCAACCTCGTCCGCTCAGTAAACACAACTCGCAACCTTTTTTCTATTTGCTTACGATAAACAAGAATATGGATATGTAACAATGGTGCTATGATTAAGCTCAAGTGCTATGTATGCTAACAAGCATTATATTTAGTTGGTTTTCTTCACAATCAAACTCATCGGGGATCGCATCTAACAATCGGCCATATTTGTGACAACGGATGTAAAGTCTAACTTAGCTAACGGTTACTATATGATATACAAGAGGGAATCTGAATCCTTAGGTTAGCCAGCTCTTTTTACCAGAATCTATATGCTCGGTGATCAACCGATGAAGGGAAAAGCTAAGTCAGTTTCTTATATGCATCACCTTTTTTACTTGATAAATAAATGTGAACAATGTGTTTACTACTTCGGTTATGCTTTCTTCAATGCTGATTATTGTAAGGGATTAAGCTATTAAAATCAATGCTGCCTTTTGATATGTGAAAAGCCTTGATGGAAGGATTTGTATCATGATGTAACTTAATAATTTGCCGAGTAGATCATCAAACAAGTATTGTCTATGTGAGCATGAGCAAACATCATTATTAAAATCTTCGTACTCTACTCCATGTTGATCATCTTCACTAACACTACTACGGCCGCTTCCACCTTCAGAGCTGCTATGAGCTGCTTCCTCGCCTACATATTCTTCTTCGTATCGACGTCCTCTGAGTTTTTTAATACCGGTGGACTCAATGCGCAACAGCACTGGTTCCAAATCGTTTTCGAGAAGGAACCTCCATTCGTCGGGTCTTGGGACGTTTTTCTTAAAGAGGCCCCTCTCTTCATCTTCATCGTCGGTGATCGTCCCCAGATCGATAATGCTCTCGTCGCTATGGCTTGAGCGCAACAGAAAAGGGTTTCCAACCCAACGGAAAGCTCTAAATTTAGGCCCATGGTCAGCAAGAAATCGAGGGCAAGTTGCTTTCAAAGCGTCTCTGACAGCAGCATCGACATCCATGATCTCGGACACAGAGAGCTGATCGTATTCCTTCTCTGCTTCTTGCATAAAAATGTTGTCGAAAAATTGGTTCTTTGTCGAATCCAAAACAGTGCGACCTTCTGCTGCGCACAAAGAGTAGACGCAATATTTCCAGGAGGATCCGATCTTGCTTTGACACTCTTGAATTGTACAATGGAATTCAATTCGCTCAATAGCAACTTCAACAGCATCGAGTAGCTCTAAATAAGCTCGTTGCCGTTGGAATTCACCCATCACCAGCAGCTCCATGAACATTTTTGAAGCAGCGGCATCTCGTCGTTGTATCGTCTTTCTGGCCTTGTCAGTGGGAGCATACTTCTTTGAGTTCTCCCATTTTGTGTGCCTTTGCCTCTTTGCTGACACTGTTGATGGCGGACCTGGACGCTTTTTTTCAAGCTTCATTCCATGGCACTTTGTCATGTGCTTTCTGAAGGCGTCTTCAGTAGCATAGTGCTTGGAGTGCTTGATGCAATAATTTTGCAAAGGAAACTTGGTGGGACGAGTTTTGTCGGAGTACCATGTCAAAGTTGGCGTTCCAGGGGTCATGGACGCGCGACGTGGTCTACCCTGCTGGGGTGGCGGAGGAAGGGTTGGAGTAATGAAGCTGGTGTCGTTAAAGGAGTAATTTTCGCTGCGTCATGGTTAGTTTGCTAATACTATGAAAAATGTGATATAACTACGGTGCCGTTTTCTAGAAACATACGCAGAAGACTCGGGCATGGTTTATTTTTAGCAAAACGATTTTACAGGTGAAAAAGGGTAAGGGACATACACTACAAAAAAAAAGGCTTTTTTTGTTGCTACTCTTGAGCCATCTCCGAATGAACCTACACGATGATCATAGCCTTTTATAGCTGGTAAAGAACCTGATTAGCACCCAGTTAAAATACAGTATCCATTGCGGTAAGTGGCGAAAGGGCGAAGTGGTTTTCGATATACCCACCGTTGTCAGCATCATATTATGCAACTAATCTGCCAGGCTAATTACTGTAAAGACGAAGATGCATGTGGCTGTTGGACAGCCTAGGTCCCACAACCACAGTAGAACAATTCGTCTGGGTTGCGCATCTGTGACGAACCCGTTTGGCTGAGTTGCGCATCTGTGACAGACCCGTCTGGCTGGGTTACGCAACTCTGACTGAACCATCCGTGTGGGTTGCAGATCCGTCTGTCTACATCGCGTGCATCCATTGTGCAAACTAATTAATATTATGGCTACTATCTATTTCTCTCTTCCACATAGTTGAATGAGCATAATGCATTATTTTTATTTTTATTTATCAAACATAATAGATAATAACGTAATAATAGGTTTTGTACGATAATACAAGGCACTATATTTCATATCTCACGAGGAAGTAAAGAGTCAGCGTTAAAAGTAATCTGCAAAGCAACTTTCAAAATTTTAGTTCGTACCCTTGTTTGTTGACTTGAATGATCAATGAAGCTTGAAATGAGAAGGTTAAGTTGCCCGACACTCTTCTCAAGATTTAAGTAAATGCATCTGTATAGCTTTTTCCAACTGCAAATAAATATATACAGCTTTAAAAATATATCTAAAGAATATATGAATAACAATACTTTCTCTACAGTAAAGCCGTTCCCGTTCATTGCATACTCAGTATTATCAAGCTATAATTGCTAAACATTTTTCTTATTAGATAGCTTATTCAAGTACTGCTAAAAATACGACCATCTCTTCTTCTTTATAAGTATTCACCAGACCCAGACAAAGATAAACAATGTAAGTGATCATTTCTGATTGTATCATTGATGGAGTTATCTATTATATTCAACGTAAGCCAGGTGCCTAGCAACCAAGCCAGATGGGTCTGTTATGGATGCACAAACCAGGCGGATGGTTCTGCTGTGGTTGCGCAACCCAGCCAGACGGGTCTGTCACAGATGCGCAACTCAGACGGATGGTTCTGCTGTAGTTGCATAACGCAAACAGATGGATCTGTTATAGTTGCATTTAGATAAACGAGTCAGACACATTGATGCAGCTGTGTATGAGTAAATGCAACAACTTGTTTCTAGGGCTCTAAATTTGACCAATGTATCGCGTTAAGGCAGAAACGGTTGGTCAAGGTGCTGGTTTTATTCCTGACAGGTATTGCTAAACGGGTGTGGGGCTGGGCCCATTCCCAATATGATAGTATATAATAATATTTATTGATAGTAAAGACGATAGTGTATACTGTACAGTGACTGATCTTCTCAAATGGCCTATATAGGCAATTAAAGCATTGGCAAGTTCTATGTTTTCTTCACGTTAAAAAAATGAAGAAACTGTGTGTATCTCGGTTGTGAAATAATCTTATCGGTACAGAATGAGATACACAGTTTAAAACGGTCGAACCGTTGGGTCACAGTTCAGGATACAGATCTCTTCTGGAAAGGTGTTATCTGTCGCTACTTCGCAACTGTGGGCCAAAGATACTGGCATTAACGGGTCGAGCGCCCAGTTATCCAACTGAACTATTTAAGGTGATTAAAGCATTAATGCCCATAATTTTGATCAGTATTGTTTATTCGATTTCGTTTAACATGAGTACAGGAGTTTTACGAGTTTAGCGTCGTCTTTTATTTTACACAGTTCTCGTTCTTTTGGGAGTGATCTCACGTACAGACAATACAGGCAACAGCTGCTCTTTTTACTTCCAAGTGCCAGGTAAGGTCCATATAAGAAAGACCATCGTTTTTCCATCAGCTTGGTTGTGCTCTAACTTTTTTCTCTTCAGTAGAGAAAATGGAACGAACTGTTGCTGTAACATTTCTTGTACAGAAATGGGAGGCACCAGTTGGTCTTTCATAAAAGGCAAATTATAAAGGATCTATAATTAGCACTATATAGTTCGGAAACTGGCCAGTACTGTTAGATTCATCTTCGAACATGGAAGTTGTGTTACTTAAAGCTTGATATAGCTATATATAGATCACAAATCCCGATAACGAGGAAGGAAGATATTAGTAAAAGTGGATAAAACTGATGGATCTGCTTAATTATAAGTTAAAATAGAAAGGATAAGTGTGGGAATCAACAACTAGGAATTATTACTTGTGAAAATCATAGAAGATAAACCTTTCGTTAAGATAAAAAGGTAACGTTAAATGAAAAAGATACTAAAGAACTAAACTGTTTACCTATTTATAAAGTACATACAGTAATACAGTACATAGTGACTATAATCTTACGAGGAAAACCCAAACTGATTGCATCTTGCTAATTATTGTTGCAGCAGTGTGTGTCAATCAGATTATAGCAGTGCTTGTGCATGGAGCAGCGTTTGCTCGTAAAGCAGTTCACAAATCTTTAAGTAAAGATCGGAATCTATTACAATGATTATCGTAAACAGTTTGAGCTTACCTCAATAGATGACAATAGGAGATAGTTCATTTGTATTGTATGATAAACAAATAATTGAGTTATTCGATAGTGGGGGCAGCAGCATGATGTGGTAAGTTATAGTGTGACGTTTGAGTGTGAGAGCAAAGTATGTATGTACTTTATAAATCAAGCGTACGAACTTTCTACATAAATCGTTGACTCTATGTACCGTCAGCATAGACAGCTAGTAATAATCTTTTGCTTCTAGGCGCAACCAGCGAAAATACTTAAATCTTCTATAGAGCGCCTTGAGCTCGTCTTTACGAAGTTGCTGTTTTGCCTATTATGCATGTACAGCTTAAACCCTAAAGCAATATACAGCCGCCCAAAATAAACAAAGAAATACAGGAGCAACAAGAGCAAGGTGAGACAGTCGTAGTTAATATGTCGCACAGGAATGAAGCCGCTTTAAATCCCATAGGACAAGCAGAAATATATCGATGTCTTATAACAATGAGAGATTTGAGGTGTACCATAACCATAGATAGCTATGATACCCCGGTCTCTTTGCTCGTTTTACTTATCATATAGTAATATAAACCCACAAAATAGATAGGACGTATATAGCCTCAGATATCCTTTATGAAGAAGATGCAAGTACAATTGTGGTATTAAAGTATGTCACTCGAGACATATACAAACTAAAAATAATAACTCATATTCCACTAGATAAGTTTTTCGCTAGCTGCTATTATATCATTGCTTACCGCTTAATTATATATTTTAACCTACCAGAGAAACGCCATACATTGGAGTCTAAGTATTACCGTGATACCATACTCTCACAAAAACCTTCATGGCGTCTACGTAAAACCAATAGACAAAGCAACCTATTGATCCGGATTGTCAGTCGTAAATATGTAGTATATATATTAAGCGATCTTAAAAGGATTTTCCTTATTCCTGCTGCTGCTGTTGTTGCTGTCTTGGTGCTAGCACGAATCGAATGTTGTTCAAACATCCGCAAGCTCAAATTTCGCATGTCGGACAAACGAGAAGGATGATCGCGCGGAATATCCGGCCATCCTTCCATGACAATATCCTCATACATCCGTTCATCCTTCCAGGGCATATGGGCATTGTCATCGATATGAACGCCGTAAAATTGCTGTACGGCTTGCCCTAAGGTTTTACAAGATAATAGATACATTATTAAATGTCTCTGTATTGTTTATACGATAAAACTTACTATATGACCAAAATGGTATCCCGCATATCTTCTCGTTACGATGCTGATTTTTTTTGGAGATAGATCTATCAGCAGCTGCAACAAGAGATGGCGCAGGCACACTGTGATTCGTGGCAGTGGTGGTGGTGGTAGACGGAATAATAGTGGTAGTGGCAGTAGTAGTCGAAGAAGAACTTGGTGTAGCGAAAGATGGAACAGAGGCAACATTCGTATCAACGGCATTGTGTGCTATTTGCGCTGATAAGCTAAAGCATAAGTACTGAATTGTGGCGGTTTAAGTCATACAGTTTTCCAAGTACCTCGGTTATAAGTGATCATTTCATGTTGGAAATCGTCAATGAACGACCGGCTGCTAAGTTCGACTTCACCATGCTACATCAGCTTATAGAAATGGCCTCCGCCAACTACAGTGAACCCCCGCTTTTTGCACCCCCGTTTATTGCAGATCCCCACTTATTGCAACTTTTTTGAGCAGATTCCCGCTCAACACTTAGTAAAATTGCAAATTCCTCAGTTTTTGCAGATTGCAACTTGGAAATCGGGACCTGCAATTTCCCGCTTCAGCCTTATATATTGTATATTAATCTCAAACTTCAGAGACAGTGAGACTCGAACCAGTAGCAAAAGAGATACACTATTGTATTCTATATTTAAGAGCTTTTAAACTAAATAAGGAAAGATGTGATTGCCAGCTTATCGATCCCACTTGTGTAACATAATCACATTTGCAGTTCTCGGATTTTGCAACTTTTTTGACGGTATTCCGCTGTTGCAAAAAGTTTCACTGTAAAGGTTTCAATTAGATGGTTTCCTTCACATATCATTAAGAAGTTGTATTACCAGAGCCATAGCCATCCCTATAAGGCTTGATGACGCCGTCCGTTTTGCTTGGTGCAAGAAAGCAAATGCTTTCTACACCACATTCATCCCTCAGCATGGTGAGATTTTCTCAAGAGCAGGTATGAGTCGATGGTACCTGTCTCGCATGGTCTTCTGTGTACCAATCATCTCCCCATTCAACTTTGTGCCTTGTCTTCATACGGTTTCCTGGCACCTTCATCCATCTCCCTCCAAATTGCCCCTCTGCGCGCCTGGATGTTTCCGATTGATCTTTTGTTGATTTTCAATTCTGCTTTTTCTAAAACATAGTTTCACGTCATAAAAGGGTGTTCAGCGTTCTTGGTTGTACATAAGAGATAGAAGATAATAAACTAACCATCAGAATCAAAAGGGCGTTTCTGAAAGATGTTGAAGCCAGAAAACCGCCAGTATTTTTGCGAATGAATGGTGGTTTCAAGTGCTTCAGAGCGTCTACAGGCGCGTTGTACCTATCGGCAATACGAGCAAGGCGTTCCTGATACTCCTTCTCCATTGCCTTGTTCAAAGCGCGGACTTCACCCATCATCGTAGCTTCTCTGTTACCGTCGGTGGCATCAGTAGTAAGTGTAACGGCCGCAGAAATATATCACTGGGGCAAGGGGTGTCCATCAAATGAAATGCCTTCAAACGATCATTTCGTTCAAAAGCGCGTTCAGTTGAACAGCCACCTCATCATGTTCGCAAATGATTGACTGAATGTTCTTGTCTTCTGCAATCAACTTTGCTTCCTCGTCACTTCTCGCTCCTTCTTCTTGCATAAGTGCTTCTGTAGCTTTCTCATATTTTACAATAAGTGTTTGTTCGTTGTGATGTAGCATGGTTATTTTGATGTGGGATGAGACTATGATTGGGAAATATGAGTAATGATTCCTTGTTTATTTAAAACCCGAAGGCTTGCGGTTACTTTGCGGTTTCAATCACGACCTGAAGGTCGGCAACTGCAGCACGTAATTTTCGACTGTTGAGGTCGGGCGGGGGTGGTATTCTTAGCTGAAAAGTAATGTCGCAGCCAGTAGAAATCAATGTCGCAAACCAATAAAAATCAATGTCGCTTGGCAGCAAAATTTATGTCACATGTTTCAAAATCAAAGTCGTTTGCTTAGAAATCAAATGTCGCATTTTTTGATACTGATGTCGCCTGTTTTTAGAAGCAACTTTGCGAATGTTGCATTAAGCTGTCAAATAAAGACCATTTTGAAGATTATTTTCATAAAGTTTTGATGATTTACCTATAGATAGAGAAAAGAAAAATTTTACTTACCTTTTATACTTACGATTATTTTCTTACCTAGTCCTGAAACAGAGATGGCTCCCAATACCGTGGTAGTTTTTGCTCTTGTAGTACCCACTGTTGACCAAGCTCTTGTACGTTTCATATTTATATGGAATGTTGATTCATCAAGAAATTCATATCTGTTTCATCCCATTCTCGAACACGATCATGACGATCATGACGTTCATCCTAAAAGAGTGAAACTCTGCTTTTTTCAATAATGAGTTGCATTCTGTCCTCATGAAATTACGCACTGTGCTCATAGAATTTACTTTCTACAAATACTCGGTGTGTGATGTAAGCAATTCTAATGCATAAAGGTTTTAATCGACAATGTAATCCATTGGCTCAGGCCTGCGGTTCTCATCAACAGCATTTACCTGTCCATCTTCATAAAAAAATTGTATCATGATGTATAGTTTTGATTGTAAAGTTGTGAAGAAAAAGAAAAAAGAAAAATGCTGCTTTCATATAATATTTATATTTTCTATAGTGTCAAGCATTTGAACTTTTTAATTACAGCGTTAGAAATTGAATTTGGCCACACAAAATTAAAACGGGCTACGATTTTGAAAATGGGCCACGTTATCCAAATTGAGCTATCTGAACGAAATTGCTTGAAGTTGAGCCACACCATGCAAATTTAGGCGTAGCCATAGCAACAACGCTACAATGACTCTTACACACATATTTTTTGTCCCAGAAGTCAAAATGAAAATCATCCATTATGGACTACCAACACATAGTAAAATAGAGATGATCAAACAAAAAAAAATAGAGGGCATTCCCTTTTATTGAATATGCTTATTTATAATCTTGTGTATTAGGTGTCAGTGCTTTGTGATAATATCAGACAATTGTTCTTGCTAATTTTGTAATGTACTCATGTGGGAGTAATAAGAGAATGTAATGAGACAAATGATGATAATAAAAAATGATAGTAAAATAACAATGATGAGGAAATGGTAATAATAATAAAAATGATAGGGCATATATGATAATAGTAAAACAACCATAGATGATCATAGAAAATGGATAATAATGAAAATGATGCATAGAACTTCAGGTAGTGGGGTGTATAGGATGTGTGAAAGTAAAGCAGTCCAGCGGTGGAGGGAATGGATGCTGAAAGGAATTAATTTGTATTTTTACGCGATTTTTTGACAGAACTAGAGGCGTTCGAGGATTGACCTTGGTTATCAGTATTGGGAGCAAATGATGGAGAAAGTAGACTTAGATTACCAGTTGCCAATGGCGGGACTCGGGTTTGACAGCACAAAGAATAAGTGTCATCGATAATGGCTTTTCCATACGAAGCTAGTTCTAGCAATGACACCATCTTCAAAACATAGTCATCATTGTCTGATGGGTACTCGAGTTCATCTGTTCGTCGAATTCTTACAATATGACCACCAGGAATATCTGCATCTATTAAACGAACAGCATCACCTATTGTATTTGATTTGTTTTAGCGCACATATTCTCATCAGTCTTGTACTATTATTATTATTATTATTATTATTATTATTATTATTATTATTATTATTATTATTATTATTATTATTTTGCATACATACCATTTATGTTGTAACCAAGGATATGAGCCTTATGTAAGAGTGAAGGACGACGGCTCACGATTTCGCTCAACATATCCTTGAAAACAAATGGGAGTTTCAACATAGAATCTTCGAATTCTTTTGTATTATCTTTCGTAGGACCTACCTCTAATCCACCCAATTCAATACCCCTGCCAATATAAATTGTATCAAGTCTTCTACCAATCTTTTCACGTTCAATCTCATCAACAGCAGATAGTTTGCGTTTTGAATTTAAGATTTTAGCATGAAAGGTACTTGTTTTTTCCTTTCTTTAAATAATAAAATGAAAATGAAAATTTTGTCAGCACTGAATATCCAAAGATTCTTTGCTTTTGACCAGCTTCATCCAAATTAAATTTTACACTCACCCCAATGCTTCAATGCCCGAATTACGGTGAATCGTACTCAATAAGCTCCACAGATAATATAGTTTATCACTTTCCAACATATTTTGAGTAGGTGTACGCGTGCCAGGAGTAAAAAACGTTGCCGTTTACATCAACGTCTGGGAAAGCCATGCAAGCAAAGGTTGTTCAATGGGATGATGATCAATGAGTCGTCTAAAGTTATAAGCATCCAAAGCAGATTTCTATATACATATTATCACGACGATAACCGAAATAAGTTAATAATATTGAAATATACATGTGGTGTTGCCGTTCACATACACAGACTTACCAAATTTTCAATCTGCTCGAACTTTGGTTTGAGTTCGTCGTGTATGCATCGAAGGATAGGCTGGCCACTACTCTTGAGTTCCTCCAGCTCTTCCTTATTGAAATAATTGACCCAATTCAAATCACTCATGTCAAGAATAAATGATAAAGTAGGACTGAAGATGAATTAGTGACTCATTTCGTTTTTTTTATTTCCCATGAACAATACTTACTGGACGTAGGTAAGAGTGGCAACGAATTCACGCATTTTTCTTTTGACTAACCATAGTGTCTTTTTTTCGAGTGTGGCTTGTTGTTTGGTTGCCTTTAGCACCCAGCATGTGTTTTCATCTCGTATCAATGCATCATACACTTTCAATACCTTGTCACGGTCAATGGTCGAAAGCTTGGTTTTTAAAGTTGGACAAGTAGAGGACGAGGAAGAAGAAGGGGATGAGGAGGAAGAGGATGCTACTGGTGCCGGAGTTGATCGTGATTTTACTGGTGCTGATGTGTTGTCTTGACGTTCAATATTGAGCTTGTTTTCAATACGCTTCCATGTTGGCTTCGCGTTATCCTAACCATATTATGCAAATAGTGTTAGTAGCGTATTATTCGCCCGAAGTTATCTTGTCATCAATCTTTTGCATTTACCAGTCATATTTCCAAGATTGTTGGCACAATTTTGAATGTCCTTGATCTACATTGCCTTATAATCAAAATTCACACCAAAAATAAAGACTGCTTTGAACGATTTCAGTTTCCATGGCATCTATAACAGACTGAAACAGAACTGGCCCATTCTCTTTCATACGACTCAATTGAGAACAGATCGCTGGTATATTATATTAGTCCTTATTATTTTTAATATTTCATTGAAGGAGCAGCATTATATTACCTTCGAGTCTTTCACTATTATCAGTCATGTTTGACGCTGGGATGTTTGTACAGGCAATACATTAGCAAAAGGAATAGTTTAAAAGTTACTATGCGCCACATCGCTCTGACCTTCATCAAATTCCTGGAAAAAAAATCAACTCCACTAGAGAGTGATTGTACCGGAACAACATCGACCATACTGTTATATAGAAAAATAAGCCAGTAAATAAATATAAAAATATACGAGACGGGTTGTTTTTTTTATTGAAGAGATAGAGAAAGATAAAAAAAAAATAGGGAAAGTTAAACTCTACCCTTGCTGCCAAAGATACCTTGACCATAAACAATAATACATGATTATAACTAAGATTCCACTAGTGAATGATATAAAGAATACAATAAATCAAAAGATCTTAAATTCATGAGCACAAAACAAATTGTCGTTAAATATGTAAAGCAGGAATTAGAGATCCGTGTTGGTTTTTGGGTAATAAACAATATAAAATGCAGCAACTTTTCTTGAACAGGTGGATGAGAATCATGATAGAGTACCCAGCAAAAAAAGATGGTGTGTGAGCCATGTGTATGAGAAATATATCACTGCTGGATCCACCCTATTTATTTTCATCAACACGTCACAAAAACAAGATACCCACACTATGATCAAATATCTTCAAATCGACCACCACGCTGTCCAGGTTTCACCAAACGCATTGTTCAAGATTTTTTTTTATTTATGATTCAACCTTGGGTCAACTACAATTACGTGATCAACAGCAACATAATTACATCCAATACCCTACACTTCAAAACTGACTCAAAGATGACCTTAACAACAACCATTATGTCTTTTTTCCCTTCTTCACACACTTTTATCAACCACCACATCAACAAACAATTAATCATCACCATTCACTTGAACTTATTAATTATCAACCATTCACCACCACAGCCACATCCAACATAATGCTTCAACAATGGTCTACAAAAAAAATATTGACAAAATCATAAACAATAAACTTCTACTTCACTAATTTTACCTCAGAATTGGAATTTTTTTGGTCAACTCCTATAGATCACTATGTACGTAATTTACTCTTTCGAATATATCATCACAAATTACCAACATCAGCTTTAACACATGCTTTCAATCATCCTTTCAGTTTAATACGTATATGCCAACTCTCATAGAAAATAATATACATTTTCTTTTCTTATGTCCATCAAAATATCAAGTATGGAATTATTATAGTTTCATGATCCTGTCCTTCGACTTTTCTTCATTTCTTCTTTACAGGAGATCCTGCTTCTTCAATCTTCTCACACACAAATTTATTATTAATTATTTCTTACACTCTTTTACATATATGGCGTGCCTATTAGAAATTTATTTTCCAGGACATTCCTTTTCTTCCAAAAAAGATTGCAAATTCAGCGATTGAACATATCAACACTCTTTTATTATAAATAGTTCTTATCTTTCTCTTTTATTGCAATTTTTTTTCTCTTCCGTTGTTTATATATTAGCGGCCTTAGAACCCCTCTTCATCATTTTGTACCATTTACAATAAGAATTTTGAGGGTAAAACCTCTATATAAAAAAAAATGACCAAACATCTTAGTACATTTACAAAGCCTCCATTCCACCTACTTACAACGATATTAAATCTTACATAACATAATAACTCAGATATTCTCAATCTCAGAGCTTATGCCTTAGTCTTAACGTGCCTGATGAAACTTTTGTTTTTTTCTTCAATAATAATCAGGATTTTCGAAAAGTACTAGTAATGCACATCAGATGGCCTTGGTGGTACCGTCCTTATAAGATGTTCCTCTCATGGGTGTATATTATGACCTACTTTCGGAAGTCCGAGTAATGCACATCAGATGGCCCTGGTAGTACCGCCCCAACAAGATGTTCCTCTCATGGGTAGCGCGTTTTTTCTTAACACATCGCATTTGTCAGATGGCCTTGGTGGTACCGTCCCAACAAGATGTTCCTCTCATGGGCAGGGCTTTGTGTTTTATCTACCTTTGAAATAATAACAATTGTTTTTTATGGTTTCATTGATTGAGTTACTGTCTTTTCTATAAAGGGAAGTATGCAAAACTTTCATATTAACATTACACAACATTTGTTTATAATTAATTTACTTCATACTTCTAGGGAGGATGGTTACTAGTTGAAGTTTTTCATCTAAACTAAGGTCAGTAAAATATTTAAGGTTCACAAAAATTCTTCATGTTTACAAAATTATTATATTTTTAAAAATTGAATATAAAAAAAATTGAATTTTAATTAAATATAAAAAATATATTACAATAGATAACCAACAAATAGATGAAAAGATTAATAATGAAGTTAACAAAATTATTGTTAATAAGTGGGAATTTTTGGAATATAACTGGCCAATTGCTAATTATAATTACAAGCATCGTACAGAATTAAAACATATTAAAGGTATTGATGGTTTAAAAAAGATTTTAGTAGATAAACTTGGTCATATAGCTGTTTTTTTCTTTTGGTTGTTTTATATACTAGCTGTGAATATCCTGGCCCTTATTTTGAAGTTGAAAAAGGTTTATTTTTATTATATCATTTAGTTTCTTGTGTTTCTGGTATTGAAATTAATAAGTTTATCCCGCAAACATCATTTCACAAATATTATAAAAAGTTTTGGATAGATGAAGATAACTATAAAAGGTTAAATAAAATTGTTAATGATTCTATGGAGAATATGTTTTCTTCTTTAACTTTAAGAATTTTATCTTCTTATAAATATAATTTACCACTTTTTAAACACATAACTTTTATAATAGATGGTCATGATTCAAGAATTAACTATGTTAATACTGATATAAAACATGAAAGATTATGGTCATATAAATTTAAAAAAAATGGAGTTCGTACACAAATTATTAGTGATATTAACGATATGATTTTATATGCTTCCAAAAGCGATTATTATTCTGATAGTTCTGTTGGAAGTATGTTTTTGAACATGAAATTATATAGAAAAATATCTAAACAAGATGTATTGGCAACAGATGGTGGTTATACTTTATTTGTTGGTTACCGCCTAATATAGGAACCCTGGGGTTTCCCAGCGTTCACGTGACGTTACACAAATAAAATTTTGCATCAAAGTAGCCAAGACAATAGGCTGTTTATTGGTGTAATTTTTGTGGCTTAGCGGTACATATTCGGGGAGCAATTAAACTTTGAAGTAGAGTAAACATTACCTATACTTTTTACTAGTGATATATCAATAGTTAATACAGAGAAATGTCCAGACTAAGCTATTTTATTGATAGAAGATATATAAAACTAAATTGTTATAAGAAAAAACTGCAAGGGATTGAAATATAAATGAGATAATAATATAGGGATATAGAAGCATCTAGTATAACTAAAGACCAAGGTCATTATCACTAGGGAAAGAAGGAAACCTTCTAAGGAGAGACAATGGGATCACCCTATATCGTGGCGCCTCCTGTTAGGGAGTAACTACACTTGGACCTTGTTCCCTATTGGTGAGCGGAGGTAACCATTCACTTTAAAATAGACTCTATATATTAGTAAAAGAGTATGAATTGTTATAGAAAATAAATAGAGATAATTACCTATCATCAGAGTCTCCTGATGGATCGTCTGATTCAGAGCTAATATTATTGCTCTCCTCTTCTTCTTCTACATTACTAGGGACTAATTCCATCATATTGAAAGGGC